TCCCTCTCCCTCTCCCTCTCCCTCTCCCTCTCCCTCTCCTCCTCACCCGCCAGCTTCCTCGTTCTCGGGGAGGCACGGAGGGTCGAGAGCTTCAAGGCGGTGACTGTGTGCCCCTCAAACCCAAGGCCGCTGGACATGCGCAGCGAGTGGATGAGGGAAACATGCTGAAAGACAAACACTACAAGGCGGAGCTCCAGTCATTCCTCTCCTGCCTCCCCTCCCTCTTCTCCCTCACTGCTCTTACCGATCGTCGCCTCCTCCAGCCTCCCATAGTAGGCCCATCCCTTCCCTTCCCGCGCCTCCCCGTCATTCGCTAACTCACTAGCAAACGTTTCCTGTCGAAAGATCAGCACACGAGCCGCGCGACCTCTGCATGCCTGGAAGTAGACCGCCATGGCGAGCCCTCCATTGGCCTGTTCCGCCACGTTGACCTGCGACCAAGTGCAAGGAGGCTCCATGCTGACGAGAAGCGCCAGCAAGGCGCTGCGGAAGAGCCATGGGGGAGCAGGTTTCATCCTCGCATGCTCTGCTTGCTCTCCCTCTTCTCCCTCCATCTGTGTCTCCCTCTTGCTTCAGCCTCCATCTTCCTGCCCCTCTTCTCCCTCCCCCCCTCCTCGCCTTCTCCTCTTGCCCCTCGCCCTGCCCCTTCCCCTTGACCGATGCGCCTGGTCACGGGAATTGAGTCGGGCTGGTCATGCAGGTGTCAGGAGCTCTTTTGTCGGGCTGCATCAGGAGCGAAGAGGTGGCGGGGGGGTGGAAGAGGGGGAGAAGACTCTGACATCACCAGAAGCGACACGGAGACGACTGGAGGAGGAGGAGGAGGAGGAGGAGGAGCAGCAGCAGCAGCAGCATGAGGAGGAGGATGGTGGGTTGAACAAGGTGAAGCAAGATGGGCATGGGTATAGGAAAGGAGAAGGAGGTACAGGAGCAGGAATAGGACATGAACGAGTGAGGCAGACAGAAGAACATGATGAGGAGGACAAGGGGATGCTGAGCAGCTTCATTGAGCAACCACTTTAAGTCTCGTCACTTGCCCCGCGCCTTTCACAGCTCGTCGCACCATCGTCACTCGATAGACTCCGTCGCTCTCGTACCGCAGCCCTCGCTTGAATCCCATCACCACCTCGCTGCCCGGAGGCCCCAGCGTCGCCTTCATCACCTCCCCCTTGTCCGCTCGGTAGAAGTTCCGCCCGTCGATCTCATACAGCACGTCCCCCAGCGCGATCTTGCCGCTCTCGTCTGCTGGGCTGTCGGGAACCAGCGAAGACACGACGAAGCTTCCGTCCTCCGCCTCGCGCAGAACGAGACCAACTCCGTAAGGCTCCGAGTCTCCCACGATCATGCTCCGCAAAGTCTTCCACATGCTGCTTGCCAGGTTCGGTCCTCTCGCTGTCTTGCTCCGAGGCTAATTCTTCTTGGCTCTTGTGTCTCCTACAAGTACTGTCCTGCCTTCTTCTCCTTCACTTGGTACTTGCCGTTCAGGTAGTAGGCCATGTCGTACGCCTGCATAAAGTCTCATATGACCACCAGCCCGCAACCTCCACACCTTCTGCGATGCTCCGATCCCGTAAGGTCCCTCCTTGTTCCCCATTCCTCCGAACGTCACCCCATACGAACTCTTCACTTGATCCGCAGAGAACTGGCTCTTTGACCACGACAGCTCCACGCCCGAATCACTCGACTGGCAAGGCAGCGTCAAAAATGCACGAGAAGCGAACATAAATAATCCAAGCATTGAACAAGTCTTCCTTGCCTTAGAACTACTTAGCAAGCTACATCTGGTACTGCAGCTGATTTGACGGCTAACTCCATCTGTTGGTCTGCACTTGCTCCTGGATGTTGTCTCTCTCAAAGTCATTTGATTAATCATTCGTGTAATCTTTCTTATTCCTGTCATGCTCGTCCTCGTCCTCGTCCTCGTCCTCGTCCTCGTCCTCGTCCTCGTCCTCGTCCTCATCCTCATTCTCACCTTTGCCACCAGTACTTCGAACATTTTGCTTCTCGTCTATTTCCGGAAGCAGCACAGAAGAGGAAAACAGGGTACGGGTAGGGTGGTAGCTTTACCTCTGAAAGTAGGGGTATTTTATGCTATGAGTCAGTGTCATATTGGGGGTAGGGGTACAAAACTTTTGGGTCAGACTAGAAGAGTAGGGGTAGTACGTAAATCGTGTAGGGAACAGGGGTAGTAGATCTGGGTGGGGTAGTAGAACAAGTGGAGCCGGGAGGGGATGAGGTCCATCTAACGGCTAAGAGCGAACGATGAGGAACGAGAACAGAGGGGGAGGGGAGAAGAAGAGGATGAGCAGGAGCAGGAGCAGGAGCAGGAGCAGGAGCAGGAGCAGGAGCAGGAGCAGGAGCAGGAGCAGGAGCAGGAGCAGGAGCAGGAGCAGGAGCAGGAGCAGGAGCAGGAGCAGGAGCAGGAGCAGGAGCAGGAGCAGGAGCAGGAGGATCAGAAGCAGAAGCAGATGAAGAAGGAGCAGGAGAAGGAGAAGAAGAAAATGAGAGGAGAGAAAAGGTGCTGAAAAACTACAAGGAAAGGAGGGAAGGAGAGAAGTAGCTGAGAAATCTTGAGAGAACGTAAAAATGACGAAGAACAGGGAGAGACTAGGGCTCGAGAAAGACAAGGAATCGAAGGCATCAAACAGCAAAATGTATTCTGAGTGCCCAAAAATGCACGGAAGTGACATAACAATGGCAATGAGAAGATGAGGCTGAGCTATCATCGACTTCAAGGCTTGTCTGATGCTTCTTGCAGTTAGGATGTCTTTCTTCGGCATCACGACTTTGGGTCCGCCCAACATCTTTCAACTCTACAGGCACCAGGAGATCTCCGCCATCTCCAAAGAAGACTTCTTCGTCGCCTTTCGCATGGTTGCAGGAGGAGCTGGCACCATCACCAAGGATCAGATCAAAGACGTCATGCATGAGGTCGGCGCTCCCACAGAGGGTGAAGACTTCGACAAGTTCTCCTCCTTCTTCGACAACCATGACGCCTTCAACCTTGAGAGCTTCGAGGATGCGCTCGACGACTTCATGGCCAACAACCCCACCAAGCCAGCCAAGCAGTATGTGTCGTCTTCTAAGCTTAAGGAGGACAGGCTCAAGCACAAGCGATGCGAGGGATCCTCCGCCCAAAAGTACCACGTGCCCCTCACGTCCTCACAAGAGTACGGCTGGGGGAACCCAACCGACAACATCAAGCGAGCCCTTCCTCCTTGCGGTAAGATGTTCGCTCACCGACCATCGCACATGTCCTACTATGCCGAGTGCATGATCTGCTATGAGGAAGGACGAGACTTGTCTGCTGGGCCCACCTTGAAGGCCATGGAGCTATGAGAGGGGTCTCAGTTGGATCTTCGCGTCCTCTTCTCTCTTTATTGTCTAAGCAGGATGTGTCTGGTAACCTCATTTCGTCACTTGCCCCTGGGCCGTGCTTCGTCGAGCTCGCACACGCGCAAGAGCAGACGTGAGGGCGGGCTGGGCGACCATGGCCGCGTCCTGCTCGTTCATGGGAGCCTGCAAGATCGTGAGTGCAGGCAGGAGATGACAAGCTGATTGCCTTGGGCTCGATCTGCTGCTTCTTCTTGTCTGCTCGCTTGAGCTCCTCAACTTCAGTCTTGAGCCTCATGATTTCAACCTTTTCATCATATCAATAAACTGTAAAGCCACAGCAGGTTGGCTGCTCAACCTGGTATTTCCGCTCTTCGATCTGCTGGATGTTTCTCAGCTCCATGTCCAGCTTCATCACTTTCGTCTCCAAGTCATCGCGCTCCCTGTTGCTCCGATCAACCAGCATCACTCAGGGAAGAGGGTGAACCTCTTGAGCTCGTCACGTTCAGACATGACAGGCTTCATCTGCTCCTTGTGTGAGTTGAGATCTTGTTCCTTCTTCTTCAGCTCATCGTCCTGCGGCGAGTGAGGCAGAACCAACAAAACCTTTCTCATCGACCTTGACTTTGAGCATCTTTCTCAAAGTGTCAAGATCTGCCTTGCAAGCCTCCATCTCCTTGGACAGTCGTTCCTTGTCCGCTGACAGCTTTGTGAACTCCTTCTGCTTTGAATCTGAAACACAATCAGGGCAGCAGCCCGGGTGGAGGAGGTGGGAAGCGGGCGGTAAGAGAGAAGAAGACACACCTGTCATCACTCCCTCGGAGAAGGCCTTCTTCAAGTCAGACTTGCACTTCACCAATTCCTCCTCCAGCTGCGACAGATTCAAGTCATTCACGTGAGGGTTTGCCATCCCTCTACTCGCCTTCTTCTTGTCCGCATCGAACTTGGCTCTCTCGGTTTCGCGCTCTCGCTGTACCTCCGCCTACACCAAGTGTGAGGTTCTGAATACATGCTCTGGATAGAATACCAGCGCACTCTGATTCTGTGACTTTTGAGACTCCAAGTCTCGTTTGTAGAGGTCTTTGGATATCATATTCTCCATGAGTTTCTTCTTTTCGGACAACTCCTCCTTCAGCTGAGCAAGCTCTCGACGATCCCACTCTTCCTGCTTCTCGGAGCGCAATCGAGTCATCTGATGTTCACCCTTCTCGTCACTCAACTCTTTCTGAGTTTGCTGCAGTTGCTCTTTCAATCCTTTGATTTGCGAGGACAAGTTTTCCTTCTCTTCGTGCAATCTTGTTTTGTTCTCTTGCAGAGACGAGTTGATGCGCTGTTCGTTGGCCTTCAAGCTTTCAATCCTCTCGTTCAAAACTTTGTTTTCCGTGAGCTTGGCGTTAATCTCCTCTTTGAGATTACGAATCTTTTCTTCCGACTTGACCCTCAAGTCTTCATATCTCGCCTTCGCCTCGTCTCGTTCCTTTGTCATTCTCGCTTCGTCTTCTGTCTTGATATTCTGGATCTTGACTCGCGCTTCAGAGAGCTCGGCTTCTTTCGTCTGCTCCAACTCTCGCAAGACGGTTTCTCTCTCCTTCAATTGCTTCTCCAAGTTGTCAATGTGTGACTTGAGCAGAGCCCTTTCGGTCTCGTGGTCTTTGGTGGTCATGATCTTCTCGTTTTCAAGTCTCTTGACTTCGTTCTTCATGTCTTCAAGCTCAATCTGTTTGAGCCACTTAGCCATAAATAACAAACGCAAGAATCGTTACCTGAAGCTCTTTTTGTCTCTCATCGTTCAACCTTTGCAGCTCCTTGCGCTCGGTCTCGGCCTTATCTTGGTAAGCAGCTGTCAAAAAAGTGTCAAGAATCAAATAGACTGAATGTAGAAAATCGACCATATTTTGAACTCAAGTCAGAAATCTGTGCCGTGTGTTTCTCTTGCGCCTTCGCCATGTCGTCCTTGAGCATCTCATTCTGGGACACGGGAAAAAATGAACAACTCTGGATTGATCAAAAACTTCGATTTCACCTTGGCCATGGTTGCGCTCAGGTCTTGTTCAAGCTGTTTCATCTTGGCTTCAACATCCGTGCGATACTCTTTCATTTCTTTTGTATGTCTTGCTTCAAGGTACTCTTTCTCTTCCTTGTAACTCGCTTTCAACTCTACCAACTGCTTCTCGATGACCTCGTTCCTTGAGGAAAGACCTTCGTTTGTCTTTGTCAAATCAGCCTCCATCTATCATGATCATCATCAAAATTTCATCATTCATAACGACTCGCACGCTCACAAACCTTGTAATAATTCTTCTCAAGCTCATTGAATTTGGCAGTGAGTTCCTTTTCTTTTTCATCCATTTCAGCTTTGAGCTGCTGCTCCAATTCATCCATCGCTGTTTCATACTCCTTGAGCGTCTCGTCAAGTTCAATCTGCTTTTGATCACGCTCCTCCATGGCATCTTTGACTTGATTCTCCAATGACTTAATGCGAAGATTTAAAACTTCCTTCTCGGTCTCAAACCCGTTCTTCATTTCCACCTGAGATCTTTCACTTGCAGCATTGATCTCTTCAATCTTCCTCTTGTGCTTGTCTTCGATCTCCTTCTGCGCCTGTTTCCATCTAGCCTCTTTTTCTTGAATATCTTGCTCCGTTCCTCCACGTACCGCTTCAAGCTCTTTGGTCAAGTTCTCAATCTCATCGGCTTGTTGCGCATTTTTTTCATTCAAATCTGCAATCTGACTGTTGAGCTCATTCTTGAGATGATCAAGAGAAGTTGATTTCTCATCGAAGCCTTTTCTGATGCCATCGAGTTCGTCAGTCTTCTGCTGGAGTTGCGTCAGCAAGTCTCGTTCCTTGGCTTGCTTTTCCTGGCTTATCTGTGTCAATTGCTTTCCGAGCTCTTCCAGTTGTTTTCTTTGCTTTGATCTTTTTCTTCAGTGCTTGCCAAAGAGCGTTGGAGCTGGTCTAATTCAACAGAGAGTTTCTTGACCTTCTCATCATATTCTTTGCAGTCACGTTTGACCTGCTGTAACTGACCTTCCAGTCTCTGCTTCTCCTCCTGACTGACAAGCACCTGATTGCTCAAATTGGTCTTGTCATGAGAAAGGTCATCAATCTTGGATTTCAAAGCTTCGATGTCTCTGACGAGCTGCTCGTTTTCAGCCTTTGCTTTTTGCCCTCCAATCTTTTCGAGTTCGTCCTTCTGCTGCTTCAGCTCTGTACACAATGCCTTATTCTCCTCCAGTTCTACGGAGAGCTTCTTCAGCATTTCTGACATTTGAACTCCAAGAGCAGCATGCTTTGTTTTCCATTCCTGAGCCTCTTCAGAAGCACGATCCAGCTGTTCAGTGAGTTGCTGGAGGCTGCTGCTTGTTTGCTTCTTCTCCATTTCGAATCTTTCTTGAAGGGCTTTTGCCTCAGATTCAGCATCTTTCTTGGCATTTTCCAAAAGTCTTCGAAGATCTGCCTCTCGGCTCCTGAGAATCAAGTCACCTTGAAAGATTGGTCATCATCTAGGGTGTGATCTTACTGGGACTCGGCGGCATTTCTCTTTGCGAACTCTTTCTCTTGCTCGAGCAAAGCAGTCTGCATCTCTTGATCTTTTTTGAATTGCAGCAATTGTTGTTCAAATTGCTGAGCTTCCATTTGTGCTTTCTGTCGCTTTTCTTCCAAGGCATTGACCTGCGCTTTCAGTTCCGCCTCCGCCTTTGCCCTCAATTCCTTCATTGCCTCTTCATGAGTAGACCTAAGTCTCTGCATCTCCTCCTTGTTCTCTTTCTCCCTGCTTTTTGCATCTTCGTTATACTTCTCAGCAAATTCCAGCTTGAGCTTGAGATTCTTCAGGTTGTTGTCGCTTTCCATCTTCAAGGCCGAGAGTTCTTTGGCCATCTCATCTACCTGAACTTTCGAATCTGCCTTCACCTTTTGAATCTCTCGTTCTGATCTGTTGCCAAATCTTAATCCAACCTCTGCCAATTTTTGTTCCATGAAGCTAGAAAGAACTTCTTGTTTAGCAGGTCCATTCGGTACCTATGCTATTGAGTTAGAAGTGGCAAAAATCGAGCATCATCCACCTCCTCCAGATACTTGGAGCGAACTGTTTTCCTCTCTGATTCAAATTCTTCAAAAGCAGAAAACTCATCAGATTGTACTTTCGCGTCAACGTCCTTGTACAGCTTTTCAAGAATCTCCTTAGCGCGGTCGCGTCCACGAGCGGAATTCTCATTCTGCAGCAATCTATGCAACTCACGGATCTTGTCTTCGAGTTGATGTTTAAAATTTTCGGTATCAGATCCGATTGCATGCTTCTGGAATAGAGCCCACGACTGTTTTTCCATTGCTCGGTGCTTGTGTTCTAGGTCTTCCATGCTCAACGGCAATTCGTTGGCAATCATTTCCTTGGATTGCTTGTCATATGATGATATGGCATCATTGAGAGCTTGTTGACACTTGCTTTCACAGATGTAACTCCAGGCATTCTGAATAGAAGGAACACTTCCAGTGTTGATAGACATGGTGTACGCATATGCTAGGTTCACAAGCGCGACTCCGTCGAGTTCGGTTCCATTCATTTTCTTCGGTTTGGCACAAGAGACGATCGTCTTTCGAAGAGTAAGCATTTGCTCACGAAATTCCGGTCTCAACTGGTCGGACGGGGTTTGAGAGAGTCTCTGAAGGAGGGATTCATCAGTAACAGGGCGCACCATCGTAAAACAATCTCTGTCCGGGAAAAAGTGTGTAAGCATCCTTCTGATTCTGTTCTTTGCCTCAATCTGCTCCGTAAATCCTGGAACTGGCTGCAGGGCCCGCTCAAGATATTCTTTAGCCGAGAAGGGCTGGCCATCGTGGTTCACCAGCTGCAAAGTGAAGTCGCGAACTAGCCACATGAATGAAGGGAAGTATTGAGCGAAGTCTGCACCATCATCCTCCCCACCCTGTGCGGAACTCCTAACATGAATGTGCTTGGTAAGGTTAACTACGAGGGAAAGATTGTTCAGAGCTCCCTCATCGATGGAACCAACACTGTTATATACAAAGTAAGACGACAACAGCAAAGCCAGGGAGAAAATGATTGAATCATGCTGGCTGTTAGTGTCTAAGGCCCCAATGCCCTCAGTGTCGATGATGAGGTAGTTGACTGTGTTTCCGTCTTTGTCTTGGGTCTTCATCACACGGTTCCAAAGCCATAACCCCTTCGTGCAGGGATTCACAGTGGGACCAACTTGAAAACCATCTGATTGTTCAAGCAAGATTCTGTTGAGCAAAAAGCTCTTGCCAGTACGGTAGAGACCGACGACTGCTATGACAGAGACGGGATATTCAATCTGAAGCAAAGTCAAAAATAAAAAAAGTGAGCTCAAAATGAATCGGAAATCTCACTGATTTCAAGAATTCCGCAGCTTCTTCTGTGACGTTAAATTTGCCGTCCTGAAGAGCGATGAACGGAATCGCCTTGCCTTCCGTAGGCATCGTTGAGTGTTATTACTTCAAAACGGATGCACTACGAAGAAGACGAAAGACAGCTGTTGTGAAGGCTGTCTTGAGGTCTAGAAATTGCAACCGTCAAAAAAAAAGTACAATCAGAAGATTTTTGAGTCAGTCTGCAAGAAGTTGCTGAAATCACACTACACCATATCATTGATCGGCTATGGATTACAACTGTCTCTGTAATTCTTTGGTCTGGGATGCAGTTTTTTCCATCACGTGCACGAATGGGATACAAGAAATGACGGGTTAAGTAGCAGGCCCGCAGACCTGCCCAGTGATCCGCTCAAGACAACAACTCACACAGAGTTGTCAGTTGCATTCAGAGTCGAAGAAGAGGTTCGAAGCACACTCAAATGAGAAAATTTTCCTAATCCATCTGAGAACTATTATCCTGACGTGCGGGAAAGCATTCAAAAGTGCCTTCATCTACTTGAAAACAGAGCAACACAGATCGTCCAGATCTGGGTCAGGACATGCAGACAAGCTTCAATCTTCAGCAGTCTATGACGGTAACTTACAATCAAAGAGCTTCTAATGTTTTGACAGAGAGACCAATGCTGGGTAGAAACAAACCATCTGACTGTCCTAATTGACTATGCTGACGCACGATTTTTTGCACACAGCAAGGAATGGAAGAGGAAAAGAGGAGGAGGGATGAGGAAGAAAACGTGGGGGTCGAGAGAATGTGAGCAGTCGGACGAGGAGTTAGCAGCCTCAGCAGCAGATCCTGCAGAAGATCATGGACGACACGACCAACAAGCCACCATGACGGAAGGCGGGAACATCGGGACACAAGGGGGTGGGGGGGGTGACACGAGTGCGGGGGTAGTACATTCGAACTACAAAAATAAATATTTGAATTACTAACTATCAGGCTTGAGTCGACTGCAGTCTACATAGAGTCCAAAATGTCTCTTTTGCTTTTTTATTTCGAGCCATCTGCTCACCTACCCCGGAAAAAGAGACACCCTACCTCCTATGTTGTCCATCGTGAACCTTTCGCGCCCCATCAGCAAGAGTCTGGGTAGCAAAAGAGGGGGTACTGAAAGCAATGATTGAGTATGTAACCCCCAAATATCGATCTTTTTCCTTTGAAGAAACTAGGTGGGTACTACTACCCACCACAATCTTTCGGTGGAATTTCAAATGTCGCGTTGACCACCTCCTCCACTTTCAAACGCAGAGCCGCGTGACCACCCTACCCACTAGAACTTTGATCGATAACCCCCTCGGGTTAAGACTACCCGTTGTTTCGTTTTGCTCACCCGTTGATTTTATAACTGATCACCCGTAAAGTCTACAGCAATAAACACCACCCCACCCCTTCAAGCACTCATCGACGACTGGAGTACCCCCCGGGGTTAAAGTGAGCAAAACAATTGAACCCCACCCCTATATTTCGCTCTGAGGACCCACCCACCTTTGACCTCGCGGATCGGAGTCACACTGCCGTGTGGTGGAGGCTCCGCCGCTGAGCCTTCCGAAGTCCACAAGTCACGGGCCGCCGCCGGCACTGACACGGCGGGCCGCGTGTGTCGGACAGAGTCCGGCCAGGGCCCGGGGGGGGCTCACGGGGCCCGCTCGGACGGCGGCTGTCCGTCGGGGCCCGGGCCCGGTGCCCCGGCGGCGCCGGGCGGCCCGGGGGCACCACGCCGCCGTACGGTCACCGATCCGATCAATATCACCCGGCGCCCAACTTGCGGTCAAGTGGCAACTTCAAGTTGGCAACGGACACGCCGAAGTTTGATCGCCGCGGGCTCCGGCGAAGTGGCTCGCAACCGGCGTACGGTCTGAGTCAGTGCCCCCCGCCAGACTGAGAGCCGGGCTCCGGCACGGTGGCCCGCTGCCCAGGCGCCGCCGGCGGGCGATCCGACGGATCGCCGGAGTCAGTCCGTCGGACGCTCCCGGCTCCGGCGGGACTCCCGGGACTCCGGGAGCGGCCGCCGGCCCGGGGCCCTGAGCGGCCCGGCGGGCCCGGCATGGCGCCGCTCGAACATCAAACTTGACAGTCTCGATTGGGCCTGGAGAAGTTGAGCAGAGCGATGAGGAGGGAGAGAAGCATACTTGCAGTGGTTGCTGCTGCATACTAGCCTCTCCTCCACTCTTGTCCTTCTGCCCTGTTCCCTCCCCTCTTCCCTTGTTGTGTTGCTGGACCCATGTGCTTTACGTCCGTATGTCTCGAAATGCTTCCTGGACCTCTGGCATGTGCTCCTCTCACGCCTGCTCCAGGCCACACGGCGCATGCGCCATGGCAAGCCCAGCAGCCAGAGTGCGATCTACTGATGAAGAGACTCATCGACTTCTCCCTCACGACTACTAACGAGAAAGAGGCTTACATGATCACCAACAGCGTAGTGCTGGACGACGGAGAAGACAGGAAGGAGCAACGGGAGGTGCTGGTCGTGTTTGAAGGAGACCGCGATGAAGAATGTGGCGAAGGAAGAAGATTGAGAGGGAAGGGAAGGAAGGAAGTGCACGATCAGGCGGAGGAGATGGAGGCCGATCTTACGGATAAGAAGTATCCTACGGTGATGCAAATCACATCGTGTTGGCTGAAGGTGACCTCCATTAGGCGGTCGGCTCGATCACATCTGACATATCCAAGACCAAATTATTTCTCATCTTTGTGAGCCATATCGCTCTGTTCTTGTTCTTGTTTTATCTCTCTGATTTTCTTGGTGAAAGGTTCTTGTGCTCTTAATCCTCTTTTCCGTCATCTTGTCGCTTCCTGAGATCGCAAGCGTGAGCTCTCTCTCTTTATCATGCAGGGACTGCTCAACTTCTTAAACTTCTTCTGTAGGTTGAGGGTGGCAGTGAGTTCGAGTGGAGCCCTCGGTCAGTGCAGGACTTTATCAAAGACAAGAACTTGCTCCTCAGGAACACTTGAGCGAGCTTCAAGCTAGCGAGGCTGAACGTTGTGTCAGATATCGAGATGCTTACTCGGGTAGACTCTTGATCGGAATCATGGTCATCTACATCATGTGAGCCCCGTGTCTGTGTTTGCCTCGATCTCTCACCAGCCCTCTAGATCGCAAACTTTTTGCATCCCATCCAGTGGAACTGTCCTGAACCTCCTTGGTCACATTTCAGTTTGGTGATGCTTGACTCTGAGGCTTTCCGGCAGTCGGCTACATCTACAGCGAGGTGACACAGAATGGGGTGAATGATTGTTTATCCGTTCCATCTTGTGATCCTTGAAAGGAATATGTTGTGGCTCTTCCCGTCGCCATCTTTTGTGCTTCGGTCAGGGCGACCAGCTTCAAACTTTTTCCCTCTGACCATGATCATGAGGCAGAGTGGAGCTGTGATGACGTATTTGCTATCTTACTTCACTTGTCGTGGACTTGTGATGCGAACGTTTCCCAAGAGGGTGCAATGGTTGAGGTATGAGCCTGCATTGTCTGACTTCGTTCAGTCGCTTCTTTCCCTCACAGCCTCCTAGGCAGAGGGTCGCCGAGCTTCAGCCACTTGCGGCAATTTCTTTTTTACGTGAGCGCAACATCGGCAGCAACATGACGAGCTGACAACGTGAACGCTCAGGTCCATGCGGGTCTCACCCGTCATACCTGCCTACCTCCTCAATCTCGCTGCTCCGCTGACCCCGTGCTCCGCTTGGTCGGATGCCCCACGTACTTACCTTGGGTCTTGCAGGTTGCCGCTGTGGCAATTCTGGTTGGCAACTGTGTTTGGCTGCACCCCACACAGGTGGACCAGACTGAGAATGCACCATAGCGAGTGGAACAGTTCTAACGGCAACATGCCGCAGTCTCGTCACTGTGACAGCTGGAGCGACGATCTCGCGGATGAAACCGGGGGAGAATGTGAGTTCCTGCATTGCAGATAACGACTGAATGAGGTTGACAGATCTTCAAGACGAGCTTCATGCAGATAGTTTGGCTGCTTTTGCTTGCGGTGGCAGTAGCATTAATCCCCTTCCTCCTGCGCGTCAGAGCTCCTGCATGAGCAAATGATGCCAAGGGGTGAGTGGAAAACCAGTGCGAGGAGGGTTCGAGGAGGCGGGAGGTTTCGAGATTTTTGTCGATCCAAAATGGTAGGAGTGAAGGTTCATCTACAGCGATAAGCATCTAAGTCCTCCCATGCTGCCGTCGCCCTGTAACAGACGGCGACTAATAGCGAGACTCTCTCTCCTTCCTCTCGTTCACGTGATTGGTGTACCTATCAAAGCCGTCATCCTCCTTGCATCCTTCAACATGATGAAGGAGCTCACCACATGATGAAGCCCAGCGTGAGGGCAGCAGGGATCATGTCGGGCAGCACGTCAAACACCTTGTGCTTGAACTTAGCGCCGAAGTTGGCGAGCAAGCCGTTGACATGCTGGATCTCAAAGGGAGAAGTGTGCTGCTCCACCTGATAACCGACAAACGAATAAAGGCCGGGATAGCTTCTATTTCACACCTTCCGATTCCTCACTCCTACACAAATACACAAATACACAAAACATACAAACACACAAAACACACAAAAAAAAAATTACTCACACAAAACACACACACACACACACACACACACACACACACACACACACACACACACACACACACACACACACACTTGCTTTGTCATCCCATCTCTCCTCTCATTCTGTCACCTTTCCGCTTGACACTCGAAGCGAAACCATCACGACTCAAACAACACACAATCGACTAGCATAATAGAAAGCTATGCATGCATCATCTTGCCAACTCCCCTCCCCCCCCGCAGTGAGCACCGTCATGACAAGGACGAGAACGCAACAAGGAGGTGCAAGCGAGAGACCAGAGGAAGGAGATGAGGACATGGCATGAGATACTCACCACTCCTCGCATGCGCTTGTAGTAAGGAAGCTTGTCTCCCACAGGTCCGCCTGCCATTCCTCGTCTGCCTGTCGCTGCCATGGTCGCGCTCAAGCGCGTCACCTTTCCCGTATTCATGAACGCACGCATTGTTGTGAACGAGGAGAGGTAGAGAAACCGTTATGACCGTTGTATCCGTTACGCAGAGGCTTCCAGACACGAACAGCCGTTTGCAAAATCGGTTTCAGGACGATAACGGTTTGAATGTGATTTCCGCTTTTAGCGCATGGCGGGGGTTTGATGGAGGAGGAGGACGAGCTGTCGACGCTCTCAGGGGCCCACAGGTCGTACAAAGAGCATGGGAGAGAAGGAGAACTGATATCGGTAAGGATGATCTACTCTCTCTTTACCTGATCAGACGAGACATTTCTGAGCAATACACGTTTGAAATGCCATCACTCGCGCGCCATTGCTGATGTATACTTGTTTCTGCAGGCGAATCGGAATCATGCACAGGGAGAGGGACTGAATCTTGAAGGTGGGAAAGAAAAACACAGGTCAGATCCTTCAAACGAACAACTATATGGTGTTGCCATACAATTCAAGCAGCACCCTTCAGGGGTACTATGCGTAAATGTGATCAAGGAAGGCGGGCCTGCCTGGGGGAAGGGCATCTTGCCGGGTGACATCATCGCAAGTGTAGATGGCAGGGACGTGCTGCATGAACCATTCGAAAAGGTCTCTCCTCTCATCAAAGGCCCCCAGGGCTCCGTCGTTTCCATCGGATTCCTTCGACCGGAGTCAGAAGGCAGTCTAGAGGAGAACGGGATTCCTGTCGGGCAGCATTACACAGTCAAGATCAGGAGGCAGGAATCTGTCTTCGGACGTTCCTTTGGCAGCGGGAGAAACTTGGTCAGCAGCAGTGGGCATGGTGAGAAGTCTAAAGCAAGTAGGGAAGACCCAAAGGATGGGGATTGTGAAGAAGATCAAGCAGGAGCGGCGAATTTAGTAGCGCGATCACAGGCGATCATGCAGGCAGCTGTAGTTGCACGTGTCAATGCAAATTCAGCGATCATGTCAGCAGCCACACGACGAAATCATCACTCGCTTCCATCCACCTTGTCCGATGGGCTGAGGGTATGGTTCCAGATGTGATGTTGCTCTGCTCATTCAGCTTGCTGGACAGGAAGAGGTGCAGCGAAAAACTAAGAGTGACACGTATGCAAGGGGAGTTATGGAACAGACCAAGACGGAACAGATGGAGCACTTGACAGCATATGCTCAACCTGTCTCTGCAGGTTGCCTTCCCCTCCCTCTTTTCACCTGTTTCAATCTTTAAGGTGCGACAGCTGAGAGGATGGAGCTTGCCGCTGAGAATGCCTCCTACCAACGTCAACTTCGGCTTCGAATGAAAGCGTTGAAACTTGAGGTTGTTTGGCGCACAGATGGAAGACCAACATGGATAGCAAAGCCTGAAACTTGTTTCTTAGGCGAAGGAAGAAGTCGCTGCGCAAGACGATGCCGCTCATGAAATTCCTCTCATTTCATCGAGATCCGCGAAATCTCAGGAGGTACACAGCGCTAGAAATGCTTCCTTGTTTTCCATTCTCTTGCTGACACAATCTTACAAACCGTACACTCCCCCATATCTCTCGTCATCCTGAGACCATCTTGCTGATGCTATCCGACAGAAGACAGACAAGGACAGCGATGTATTGAGTGCGCAGCAGCTGGAGGATCGGGATCGGGCTCGTGCACTGAAGCGAATGATTCTATCCCGGAAAGCTCGGTGATGGCTGCTGCTTGTGAAAGAGCTTCTAACCCGTTATCGTGGTAGTCCTCATTCAGCAGTCAAGGGCTACGGTGAGCATGCAGACTGGCTGGAAGTGGTGGAGCAGAGAAGGCGAGTTGCCCGCGAGTCACAAGCACTGACGTGAGATTGTTCCGTCGGCTGGGGTTATGTCTGCGCTGAGAAGTTTGCAGGCATCGGAGCAGCAGGAGCAAGACAAAGCCGCCGCTGCAGCCTATGAAGCCTGTGACATGGCAAGAAGAATGTGTTGAGATGGTCGGCGTGTGTAGAAATTGTTTGACCCAAGCAATTAATGCTATCTGATCTCGTCAGCATCTCAGGGCCTTCTCAGGCCGCGTGTCTGCACATTGAATTAGTGGTATGATCCGTGAGCCAGTCCGCCGGTCCGGTCCGAGTCACCCGGTTGGTCCAAGGTCCGTTGTCGGCGGGTGACTGACCGGCGCTCAGCTGGCTTAACCCGGCCGGGCCGTTCGCCGGAAGTCCGACGGCCCGACGGTCCGGCCGGGCCGGACTCCGAGGCGGGAGTCAGTGCGGCGGTGCGCGGCCCGTCCTCCGAGCGTGCGACTGCTAGCCTAGTAGGCCGGGCACCGTCCGGTGTCATGGTCAGCGCCAGGCGTGCTGACAACACCTGGTCTTCTAGCTAGATCAACTTATTAGACTTGCATGAGCAGACACGAAGAAAACAAGATGAGAAGAAGATAAGAAGAAGAAAAGAAGAAGAAAAGAAGAAGAAAAGAAGGGGTGAGAGAAGAAGATGAGAAGAAGACGAGGAGGAGAAGAAGAAGAGAAGAAGAAGAGAAGAAGAAGAAAAGAAGATGAGAGAAGAAGATGAGGAGAAGATAAGAAGAGGATGAGAAGAAGAAGAAAGAAGATGAGAGAAGAGGATGAGGAGAAGATGAGGAGAAGATCAGAAGAAGATGAGAAGAAGATGAGAAGAACGATAGGGTGAATGGAATGCAGGACGCATTGAAATATAGAAGGGGAATGAGGATGTAAACTGGATGGGATCGGGGGAGGGACCTCGGGATCAGAGCAGGTGAGCAGGTGAGGGGGAGCAAGAGCTAGAGCTCGTGAGGTTCCTCGAGTGCCAGAGTTCGTGTTTCATTGTTGCGTGCTCCTGTTCTGCTGCCGCTTGCTAGCAGACGGAGCCTGCGATGTGCTCACAACTGGACAGGAGATGGAGGCTGGCCACAAGCGAGACGTCAACGGGCAGATCAAGACAGCAGAGGCCCCGCCTGATCCCCAGGCTTTCAAGTACAGAGTGACTTCAGGTGCATACGGAAATAGGGGACTGAAAGCTCAGGTCGCTCTCTCCTCCTTCCTCTCCTCTTGCCTGACTTGTCGGTTAGCTGGAAGACGTGGAAGTGCAAGTCCCGGACCTCTCTGCCTTGGGGTCGGAGGAGCTGAGCAAGTACAGGAGCGCCTTCTTCGCCATCTTCGACGGGCATGCAGGGAGAAACGCTGCTGAGTTCTGTGCGGAGAACTTGCCGAGGCTGATCGCGGAGAAGATCGAGAAGCCGACAGAGAACGAGCACGTGAGGAAGGCGATCATGCAGGGCTTCAAGGATGCCGACGCCAAGTTCCTCGCGATGGCGGAGGAGCGCGGCTTCAAGGATGGCTGTACCGCAGTCACGGTGACGCTCCTACGCGACGTGATGTTTGTAGGATGGGTAGGAGACTCCAAGGCTGTGCTGGCGAGGAGGGAGAGAGAGGAGGAGAGTTCGCGGCTCAAGGCCCTCAGCCTCACGCGGGATCACACGGCGATGCAGGCGAAGGAGCGGGAGAGGATCGTCAAGGCCGGAGGCTTCGTGGAGAACAACCGGGTGAACGGGATCATGGAGGTCAGCAGGTCCATCGGCGACCCGCAGCTCAAGAAGGCTGGTGTTTCCTCCTCCCCTGAGATCGAACGAGTCACCCTCTGTGACCGCGACGAGTTCCTCCTGCTCGCTTGCGACGGCCTCTGGCGCGTCATGGATGCCAAGGAAGCTATCGAAAGGTCTGGATACTCCCTCCTCCCTCCTCCCTCCTCCCTCCTCCCTCCCCCATTGTTCCGGCCGGTGGCACCAGCAACTCCGCGAGTACACTGAGACAAGTGTGAGAAGGAGGGAGAGGCAGCAAGGAGGAGGACCTCGGCTCCTTGACGAGGAGTGGCGGCAGGTCATGGACGAAGGCAGCTGGAGGAGAGGAGAGCTCCCTGTCAGCCCCTTCGTCTCTCCTCCTCGACCATCGAAGGCTCAACTTCCCCGGACTTGCTTCCCCCGCCTGCCTCGGCACGAAGCTGAACAGCATGCATTGCTTCTCCCCGCGTTCCAGCTCAACCCCAACTTCCTCGCCGAGAGGACGCAGCTCCTCCTCTCCGAGCTGCAGGGAAGCTTCCTCCAGCAGCAGTGCAGCTGGAGAGAGTGCCTCGAGGATCACACGAGCGATCACCGACTCCCCTCGAAGCACAAAATTCGGAGAGGATGAGGCAGCAGCCGGGGAGGCTGAGAAGGAGGAGGAGGAGGAGGAGGAGGAGGGAGCAGAAGAGGATGGGGTGACGTCTGCTGTGGGTTGGTGTACGAGGAGGCTGTCAGCATGAGACAAAGCCCCGTAGAGGACGGTGAGAAGAAAGGGCTTCTCTACCTCCACCTCCACCTGCTGCTCCACTCGTGAAACTTTCCCGCTGTCTCCCTCATGCTGCAGCTCCGCACGTAGCGCCAACTGCAGCACGTCCAGCGAAGGCATCGCCTCCTCCTCCACCACCTTCAAGTGCAAGACCTCCACGTGCTCTTCACCTCCGTCCACCACTGGCAGCTCCAACTCCAGCTCGCTCCCTCCTCCCTCCTGTCTCCCCGTTGCCTTCGCCGCAAAGAGCTGCACCTGCGCCCTGCCCTGCACGTCTGTCATGTCCACACGACACTTGAGGCGGCCAGCGCGGAGCTGAGAGGAGGAGGAGGAGAGCACGCGGAGAGCGACAGGGAAGAGCTCGCCGAGGAGAGCCGGAGGATGGCAGACCATGGCGACCTTGGCGTCCGGCTTTGCCGCCATCACCATCGTCTCCCTTTGCTCCGCGTGCTCCTGCCCCCCGCGACCTCGCGCTCCCTCCTCTGTCCGAAGAAGAATACAAGCAGGCGGTGCTCCCCAGACGAGCGTGACGTTCCTGATGCCGAGATGCGAGGCAGGAAGAGAGGCAGGAAGCGCACAGTCAATCTTCCAGCAGCTGCCCGGCACGAGATCCAGCTCATGCTCGATGCGGATACGATGCTTGACCTGCTCCTCCTCCTCAAGTTGCAGTTCACGATCGTCAACCTCGACGGCAGAGAGCAGGAAGTTGTAGTTGCTGTCTGTGCATCGAGCGACGAGGGCGGAGAGCCGAAGAGGAGCAGGGAGGGCTGAGCTGAGTTCCAGCTTGAATGTCAGCTGCTCTCCGACGGTGAAGGTCGACGAGCTGAAAGAGAGGGAGAAGCAGAGGAGGGAAGGAGGGAGGGAGACCAGCACGGGAGCTCGTAGGTTAGCCCAGCTCAGGTCCACCTGAGGTCTTGTCATGTCATGCGGCAGATCTCGCTGCTCACCTTGGTGGGAGGGGGCGACGAGCTTTGGGGCAGCTCGAGAGGAAAGCCGCTGACAAGCAGCTGCACGTCCTCCTGCAACCTCCTCCTGCGGTCAAGACCCTGCAGGCGGCATGTTAGCTGGGAGAAGAAGGCAGCAAGAGCACCAGCTGGAGTCGCTCCTCCAGCAGCTTCAGGCTCGTTGCCACCAAGAGCTCGAGATCTCCTAGCGCCCTGCTGGTGTCCAGCTTCCACTGACATCAGCACTTGTTCACTTGGTCGTTCCTAGCAGCTCACCTGCAGTTGGAGGACTTCTTGCTCGAGCACAAACCAGCGATCCTTTACTATCGGACCAAGCAGAAGACTCGTAAGCTCCTCCTGGTCCAACGGGAGTTACAAGCTCTCCTCCCCTCCTCCCCACCCTTCCTCTTCTTGTCTCTCCTCCCTCCTCCCCACCCTTCCTCTTCTTGTCTCTCCTCCCTCCTCCCCACCCTTCCTCTTCTTCTCTCTCTTCTTCTCTCTCTTCTTCTCTCCCCACTCCCTGTATCACCTGGGCTTCTTGCATACTCCCGGACTCCAAGAGCGACTTTGCCATTGCCAGCTGTACTGCCACTTCTCGTCTCGGGTGCTTTTGCTGCATGTACTTCTCCTGCTCCTCACCGTCAGCTTGCTCTCTTCCCCTTCCATGTAATTACTCCCCGGCCCTTCCTCTCTTCCACCTTTCTCCCATCCTTCCCTCACCCTGGCTCGCTTGAAGCATTCTCGTGCTTCGCTCAGCAGGTCAACTCGTCGTTCCATCTCCTCGTTCTTCAGCTCCTCCTGGTCCTTCTGTCCCCAGAAGAGAGCGCATTCAACCGCATTGTCGTCTCGGCCTGACTTGTCGCTCGTCGCCTTCAGCGCTTGCTTGCGCTGAAGCAGCAGGCGAGCACAAGCCTCCCAGTGGATACCCGAGTCGATTCTATGAAGCGTGAGAAGCTCTCAAAGGCAAGTCGAAAGAACCTCGAGGAGGAGCCGTCGGAAGCCTCTGCCTCATCCAGAAGCTTGAGAGAGGTAAGACGAGACCCAGAGCAGCAAGATGAGAGGAAGGAACAAAGAAGGAGGGGGGGCGGGGGGGGGGAAGGTCTCTACCTTTGCGAATAGGAAGTGCTGGCGAGACATCCAGGCGAGGTGGGAGGGGAGAGACTCTCCTTGAAAGATGTTCCTACGGGCAAGAAGTGAGGAGGCCCGGAGCGACGTCAGAGACAGAAGACCAGAAGTTGATATGTCGGAACACTTGTTGCTGCGCGTCATGGGGAGAGGTCAGCTGCATGAGCAGCAGGCAGATCTTCACGTTGAGCACTTCTGCCACTCGTTTGAATTCTCCGAATCTTTCCATCACCACATGCCCGACGCCATCGCAGACGTCACTGTAGGAAAGGAGAAACTGCTTCAGCGCGGCTGATCGCTCCTTGTGTTCCAGGTAAAACGCGAGCTTGATGCCTTGTCGGACGATGAGCTCAAGCTGGTGCTGGCGGTTGAAGGATAAGAGCTTCGTCCTGGCCCGTGCACATGCCTCGTCCAACAGCAGCCAGGCAGCATCCATCAGCTTGTGCTGAAGCTTCTCGGCGCTCAGACGCAAGGCAAACTCAGGGTGGCGGATGACGAGGGCAGCAAGCGATCGCTGGTACTCCAGCCTGTGCAGCAGCAGCTCAAACCGTTGATCCACGTCCGTCGGCGTCGCTCCCTCCACCACCAACGCCAGCACCACTCGAACGCCTGGACGCGATACCTCCTGCTCAGCGAGAGCCACCTGCTGTTTGAGCTGATGCAGGTCGCCAGCCTCGTCCGCCGCTTTCCAAGGTATGAGGATGGCGATGGCGCAAGGACGAAGCATCACGTGTTTGCGCAACCATTGCTTCTTCAGCATCCCGCTAGCTCGCTGCACTCCATGCCCTCCCTCCTTATGCTGCCCGATCGCTGATGGCAGACTGTCAAGGTCAACGGTGCGAAGAAGAGGCATGCTCTGTCCTAGCTCCCCTTGCACTTGCTTCATGCCATACAGGGCCACCAGAGGGACGGGAGGCTCATGCAGCAGGAATGAGGGGATGGCTCGATGTACCTCCTCCTCCATGATGACGCAATCCCTCTTCTCTGCTGTAAGCAAGGAAGGAGTGCAAGAAACCGTGAACAAGATTCAAGGAGACAGCAGGAGAGCAGCAGGAGAGCAGCAGGAGAGCAGCAGGAGAGCAGCAGGAGAGCAGCAGGAGAGCAGCAGGAGAGCAGCAGGAGAGCAGCAGGAGGAAGGCGAAGGGGTGAAGACTTTCAAGCGGCGAGCACAGGTAGCGACAGCGGCTGGTCAGTGACACCGCATGGCGATTGTACCCCTCATCCCCCCTCACGCCCTCACTGCCTTGCCCAAATCAAGTTGAGTTAAACTTTCGAGGAACTGAGACATGGCAGCCTGAGGCGCTAGACCGAGAGACCTCAGAAGCTTGTCGCCTCCGCTACACTCCCTCCCCTCCCTCCCCTCCCTCCCCTCCCTCCCCTCCCTCCCCTCCGGCGCCGCCGCCGGCACAGGCCACTGCCACCCCCGACCCAGAGGACATCAGTGCTAGAGTCTATTACAGGCATACAAGTACAAGTACAGAAGCTCAGGAAAGTGCATCACAAAGTCCAGCTATGCTTGAGCTCGCTCGGCGAGCTGGACGGAGCATCACTCGAAGTAGTCTTGCCGTCCTCCCTCAACCACTGCGAGGACATTAGGGCCGGGCCAGGAGAACCTCTCACCGTCTTCCTACCTGTCGCCAAGTAGTACTGGTAGAAGTACTGGTTCCCTAGCTCCAGGTCCTCCTGCTCTCAGGTCAGTCAACTTGTGACTGTTGGCTCGTCTGTCTCCTCCCTCCCCACTCACTCGATTGCGCATGTCCAGCTCCATGCTCAAGTCCTCGTTGAGCTCCAAGTCGAACTGCATCTCCTCGTCCAACTGACTCATCGCGTCCTCTCTTCCTACCCCTTCCGCTGCTGCTCCTTGCGACTGAGCTGGTCCCACGAGCTTGTCGACTGCTGTCACTCGCTCTGCAGTGAACCACCTGGAACCCTCTCAGAACTCCGTCTACCTCTCTCCCTCCTACCGGTGAAGGAGCGCATCAGCCGATCTGATCCTTTTGCGAGGATTCTTCTCGAGCAACTGTACCAACGTCAGAGGGGGTTGGAGGGGGGGCGATGGCAAAGACAAGAGGAGGGAGGAAGGGGCGTGAAGGGGAACCTGCATGATGAGCTCGCGCATGTCGGAGGAAGCAACCATTCCCCTACTGCCGTCTCAGACCCTCCTCCACCTCTCACACTCAGCAGCACCAGGAGGGGTCCGGGAACTCAACGGCTGCGGGCAGCGCGACCTCGTGAGGGAGGAAGGGAGAGAAGCCGAACATCTGCCGCAGCATCAGCAGGTCCTGCCGACCTCAAAATTCCCCACCATCTCGTAGAGAGTTATGCCAAGCGCCCAGATGTCCATAGCAAAGTTGATCGCCTCCTCCTCCTCCTGCAGTACTTCCGGAGGAAGATACCCGATGGTGCCCGCTGCGGTCTGAGAACAAGATCATCTCCTCCCTCCCCTCGCTGCTCTCCTGCATTGCCGTGCTACCTGCTCGTGAGCAACAGCAGTATCCGACTGATCTGACAAGTCGACTGCTAAGCCCAAGTCGATGACGTAGGCGCGTCCACTGAAAGGAGGATGAGCGCAAGACGGGATAGCGAGAGGAGATGAGCGAGGGGGGGGACGAGGGACTAGGAGGGAGGAAGTGACCTGGTAGCGAGCAAGACGTTTCTCGGCTTGATGTCGCGGTGAATGATCGACATGGAATGCATGTGATCGACGGCTCTGAGGATCTGCGAGGAAGGAACGTGTGAAGGGAGAAGACCCACAAGACAATTTAGACCTGTAGGAAGATGCTCGCGCAAACTTCTTCCTCCAATCGCCTGCTGATCTACATGATAAAGTCAGAGGAACAAGCGAGGAGCAGCCCAACACTTGCAACACACCTGAAGAACATCATGCAGCTCTGATCCTTCCACAAACCCCAAGATGAGCGCAACAGTCGCGCCCAGCTCGTAGTAACCGTAGAGCTGACAAGTAGAATCAAAATTCATCTCCACTGCTGCCCTTTCATCCCTCCTCACGACCTCCCGGACCTCTTCCTTCTCCCAACGCCTCTCCTTCTCCTCACCTTTACAATGTTGGGGTGATCGCACTTGCCATGCACACGTATCTCACGGTCAATTGAGTCACTGCCACCTACAAACAGGGTGAGGAGCGAAGAAAAAAGGGAAGAGGAAGAGGCTGGGGAAGGGAGGGAAAGAGGGACACAGGAAGAGGGGAGATTACTTGCTGTGCCGGGATCTCTGTAGACACACTAGCAAACAGGAGTGAGTGAGGAGAACTCGGAAGGGATTGTCACCTTAATCGCCAGCTGCTCGCCTTCTTGAGGGAAAGAGAACAGGTGCCTCCTCTTCTCCGTCACATTCCAACTCTGACAGTTCCTCTTGTTGACAACCTTGTCTGCGTCAGATCACCTCCCCTCCGACTCTCTCAGTCACCTTCACGCACTTCCCGAAGCTTCCTTCTCCTATCAGCTGCAAGACTCTCACTCCTGCTTGCTTTGGTAGCAAGGCCTTGGAGAACAGAGTCAACCAAAGCCAAGGGAACAGGACGAGACAGGGGAAGGACAGGTGAGACAAGGGGGAGGTAGCCACCTGCAAGCCACACAGTTCGGCTGAAGCAGGAATGTCTTCCTGCAGCTTCAACGCTTGTTTCATCAAGGTCTTGTGGTCTTTTGTGTCCACAATCTTCACATCCAGACGTTTTTCTTCCGGCGAGCAACGTCGAGGAGGAGACCACTTTTCGTTCTCAACCTCCGCTGACGACGAAGGGAGGAAGAAGTTTCTTTGCGGGATGGAGCAGCAAGCCGACTTGGCGATAGCTGATGACGCGGCTCGCGCTGCTCTGTTTAAGTTGGCGCACTTTCTGTCGGAACAGCAGGATTCGGACCGGGACAGGATGCACGAGCAGCTGGAGCAGTTAAGAAAAGAGTCAGAAGATCCCTCGGAGCTGATGCTGCTCCTCGGCAGTCGGTTGGCCTGGTGACCATGATGGAAGGTGCCGATGTAGGGGTTCGACTGCAGGCTTCCGGGTCTCTCGGGGAGAGGCCGAAGCACAAATTCTCCATCAATCTCCAGCAGTTGGCTGTCCTCTAGCGCATCTCCCCTGCCATGCCGGTCCAGCTCTGTCATGGAGTTGGACCTGCACAGGCTTGTCCTGGTGTGATGATGAGGAATGTTAAGAGGCTCAGACAGCTCGTTCTTCGACGCCTCCACACTCTCGCTGACGGGACAGACAGATAGAGGCTCTTGCTTGCAGCCGTCGGCTATTTCAAAGAGGTTGCAGCGCATGGCAAGTCTAGATGACTTGTCCTGCACTAGCTCGTAAAGATTGTCATTCGAATTGGAAGCTGAAGCTGCAAACAACCTTTCCAACTCTATCTCATTGCTCATCACCTTAGCTGCCATAGAACCAATCGAACCTTCCACCTCTTCTGTTGTAGGAAATAATATCAAGAGCGATGCAACCAACTCAGATCAAAAGTCTTGGTGCCTGGATAACGGTACGAGTTGCACGAGAGTTTCACTGTCTCCTCTTCTCTCGGAGCTCCTCCTCACGCTCCTCCTCTACCGCCTTCCTTCCCACCGCCATGGCGTCCGTAGCCTCTAAGATGAGGAGCAAAGTTAAAATGTATGTAAGTTTATAACTTGCTTATATGATTAAAACTTTGTAGAGTTGAGGTGTCGGGGGAGCCGGGGGTAGGGAGATATACAAGGAGGGCTGGTCGAGATGGACAAGATGATTTATACAATGATATAAAGTTAAATTACTAATATATTAGTGCAGATGCGAACATGAAAAGACTCCATTTAAATTATCATCCCCCGGGGATGATAATAGTTTTTGATGAAGTCGCGTTGGCGTGCAAAAATTACAGAATGTGTCTCATTGATTTCAATTTCTAAAACAAAGCTGAAAGATGATATCAAATAAACTTCAGCCTAGTCGTATCAACATTGTAAACTTTTGCTCTTGATCTTTGAAAAATGAGAATATTTTTGAAATTTGTTTTGAATCTGAGTGTTCGCAATCAACTGCTGACAGAATTAGTTGAAAAGATATCTTTTCGATGGTTTAAAAGACAACGTGGCCCGGGCCGGCCCGGCCGGCCGGGCACTTGAATGCCGACTCTCAAGTCACTGAGTGGTCGGACCGTCCTGGACCCGGGCCCGGTCCCGGTCCGGCGGCCGCCGGGCCGTGTGTGCCACGGCCCGGTCTCTTTTTACTACCCGGTCATCCCTATCAACCGTGCGACGGTGGCGTATGATCGGAGACAAGTTGCCAACGGTGAGTTGTGTGCAGCGGCCGAGTACGGACGGTCCGGGCCGCCGGTGATCGGATGATGGCATCGGATCAGTCGGAGCAGTGCGATCTCGTGCGGTACCGTGCTCCTGTGCCCGGGCCGCCTCCCTCTGTCCGCTGCTGGCGGCCCGGCGGTCCCCCGGGCAGCGCGTCCCCTTCTGCTGCTTGTTACCCCTCAGGCTCCGACGTAGCCACTGTTGCTTGGCCCAGATCAATCAAACAAATTGTGGCTGGGATGAGAGGCCTAAACTTGCCAACCGTTGAACTTGACTTGCGGCCGCAGTAAAGAGAGAGCCTGATTGAAGAGAGGAGTCATCCGAATGTGTAAGGCTTGATAGAATTGCATGAATTTTCAACTGCAACCGGAAACGGCGGTCACGGGTACTCCTCGCTAGCCTCCGAGTCAGCGGTAGCCGAGTCAGCGGTAGCCGCCCGTGACGGCGGCGACGCCGCGGCAATGCCCAAGGACCGGCGTGACCCGACCGATGCCGGGGAGGAAGCAGGCGAGCTCGGACCAGCGGCAAGCACCCCAGTGGTGTCGAGCTCTCCGGAGGCACCTGACGTCACAGTGAGGGACGGAGACGCCTCGCCAGCTCCGCGCCGATCGTCGGCGCCACTCGACGTGTTTCCCCCATCGGAGTCGGAGACCTCCGGCGAAGACTCCCCCTCGGGCGACTCGACAAAGTCCGAGGAGGAGCTGTCCTCTGGCTCGAGAAGTGCTTGCGCCTGCAAGGGCGTCATGCGCCTCGCACCAGACAAGAGCGCCTCCAGCGTCAGCTGCATGGTGAGGCGCTGATAGGTGGCGGCGCGTTTGCGAGCCAGGACCTCAGCAGCAGGGCCGTCATCAGGCACGAAGTGCCGACCAAACGCCGCATCCTCAAGAGGCATCGAGCGCTGAGCAATGATGTCCGCGAGATACCAGATGAAGCGGAGGGTGTCAGGATGCAGGGTACCGTCCGTCGAGATGGCAAGAGGGATGAACGCTCGAGGAGGAGTAGTCATAGCATATGCAGCGCGATGTTTGCGAATCTTCTCAGACGCTGCAGCATGGAGGGCGTCGAGGTTGACCTCCCCCCACTTGGTCAGGTCGGCAGAGCTACCAATGTAAGGGTGGACCAACGTCACGTCCGCCATCAAGCCCTCGTACTGCTCGGACCCTCGATCGCGGATTCCAGGAATGTGGATATCGCCCTTCATCTTGCGGCCGTGACTCAGTGAGGATGGGAGGGTACCTGCCGTCGAGAACGAGGATCCCCCACTGTATCGTACCCTCCGTCCGCTGCCCCAGGCGGACCCCCGGGCAGCGCCGGCTCCTTGTCGGCGGCTGCCCTTTCTCCGTCCGCGGCCGCCCGCTTTGTGGCGGCAGCGGACGTCTCGACTGACAGTGGTCAGTCGGCTGCCTCCGGGTATCGCGTCTAAGGGATTTTCTTCCTCATGCATGCTCCTGCTGCTTGTTGCTTGATTGCTTGACCCTTAGGCTGCTTGTCTGCGCGGCTTCGCGCTTGGGCTGGCGATGCCGCGTCTGGGTGCCAGCAGTGCTGGTTCTTTTCGGGCTTGTGTTTTGTGTGTGTTTGTGCAGCTTCTCGCTGTGGTGCCAGCAGTGCTGGTTCTTTTCGGGCTTGTGTTTTGTGTGTGTTTGTGCAGCTTCTCGCTGTGGACTGTGTACCTGCCGGTTCAGCTTGTTCCTGCTTTGTTTTGCTTGAGGCACTTTTTACCTTCTGCGAGTAAATCCTATAAAGTCGCTGTGGACTGTGTGCCTGGAGGTTTAGCTTGTTCCTGCTTTGTTTTGCTTGAGGCACTTTTTACCTTCTGCCAGTAAATCCTACACCCCCCCTGTATCGATGACGCTCTGAAGACCAGCTTCGTTCAGCATCGACCGAATCGTACGAGTAAGGTTGTCATGCGCCGTGGGAAGCTTGGAGGATCGGCCGCCCGGCGTTTGCAGGTCTGGAGATGATGTGCAGCAACGGAGGGATCGAGCTCGCGCTGACATCCATCACATTCCGTCGGACACTGGCAGATCGGCATGCCATGGAGATAGCAGTCGAGCATCTGAGCATAGCGGTGCGGGAAGGCCTTGAGGGGGTAGTAGCTCGAGACTCGCATCGGAGAGTGGCTCAGGTCTCGCTCAGGAAAATGAGCGAAGATGGTAGACTGCAAGACCCTATCCTGCGACTTGAGCGAGTGTGTCCTGCGGCTGTGCAAGGTGAGGATATCACGCTGCTGATCGGTCAGCGCAGCGCGAGCATGCACATGGCGAGGGAAGACGCGCATGACAAGAGGAGTCACATTTCGCTGCGCAGGGGGAGGAATGAAGTGCTCATGAGACGAGTCGACGAGAGCGCGCAAACCAGGGATGTGTACCACAGATGCCGGGGGGCGTCCTGCATCATCAGGCACAGCAGCCGGGGCAGGTGGGATCGCCGCACCATCTGCAGCCGGTGCAGGAGCCTTGACACGACGGTAGAGGATCGCTCCAGCATTATGAACGAAGTCGTGCGCCTCAACGAAGAAGGTCGCCAGAGGATGCTTCTGGGCACGGAGAGATCTCGAGCAGTGAACGTCCAGGCTATGAGGAGAGGGCAAGGTCCGTGACATGGGCTGGTCAGAGTACCAAGCGAGGAAGCGAGCGATAGCCGTATAGTAAACAGCGGGGTGTAGACCCTCAGAGGGCGTGAACTCGTCCCCTCCCCGACTATGCGGAAGCTCCCGCTTGAACCTCGCAAACTCTAGCAGGTCGGGATGCGCGGCAAGGTACTGCGAGGAAGGCCAGCGGTGGTATTTCTCAAGCGCCAGGTGGACAGAGAGGTCAAAGCGACGAATCTGTGATTGGACCCGCGGGAGAAACGGAGAAGACCCCTGGAGGAAGAAGCGCAGCTTCTGAAGATGGCTCGCCCTCACCAGCGTCTTGAACATGAAGCCATGCTGGACGAGCCCGAGCTTCGAGAGCTCTTCGTTGAGGGTAGAAACCTTCGCTCGGAGCTGACTAGCATGAAATCCATCCGTGCCGATAGGCAGGCCGCCACTTGAAGTGTAATCCCGCCAGTGACGACCTCGAAGTGAAGAAGTTGAGTCTTGAGACGGCGCTTAAGGCTCTTCTTCAGCTGCGAGAGATCAGGGTGTTGATGCCAGGAGGGGATGTAAACTTTCGACTCGCGAGGTTGAATCTCTAGCTTCAGATCAGCTAACATGTACTTCTTCATAGCGGACGTAGCTGCAACGGCATCCTCGAGTGGACCGACAAGCACGACGTTGTCAGCATAGGCCAAGACTCGAACAGAGGGAAAAAGCTCTGCGATATGGAGGAGCAGGGGGTGGATACTGTGGCAGAAAAATACGCTGGAGGGGACATCGCCCTGACAGACGCCCGAGGTACACTGAACGGAGGCTGACTGACTTTTGTGAAAGAGTCGAAGGTCAGCAGAGTCTCCATAGTAGCTGGAGAGGTAGGAGGCGAACAATCGGAGATGCTCGCAAGAGGGCAAGCTTGCGCCTTCAGTGATGCTCCCATCAAAGTAGTCGCGACTCGCACGTCCCTCGATTGCATCGAAGAGAGCCTGGCGGTCGAGGGAGTTGAAGGCGTTCTTTGCATCCAAACTCACCAGCACTGTGGGGTTGGCAACATCCTCATCATCACCGCGAGCGTGAAGGGGCAGGAGCGCTGACGCGGTTTGCGAGAACTTCAGACAGCCGTCTCGATCGAGTCCGAACTGAATCGCTCGAGGGTGAGACGAGAGGAAGTGCTGGTCAAGAAATGAGCGAATCGCTGCCAAAGCAAGCTTCGTCGCGAGTCGACGGTGTGCAGAACCGATGACAATTGGCCGGAGACCAGGTTTATCAGCTCCCTTGGAGAGGGGAATAAATCTGCCTCCTCGACGAATGGCTGACAGGGCAGGAATAAGAAGATCCGGCATTTGGCCAAGAAGGACCCCTTGGAGGATATGTTTGCAGTAGAGCTTCAAAGCTGCAGGATGACTAGAAAGGGGTGACAGGTGTTGCCGAATCCTCCACCCTTGGTCATCGGTCCCCGCAAAGGAGCTGTAGCGCTTGATCGCCTGGATCAGGCTAGTGGTGTCGAGGATGTCAGTCAAATCCACCTGCAGTACTGCAAGCGCTTGCTGGGTGAGATGATCCGCGGAAGCACTTCCAAAGGCAGGCGACGCACCATCAGGGAACTTCTCTTGTGCTTCAGCAAGAAGATCAGCGAAAGATTCAGCCCTGTAGATGCCGGAGCTCAGTAGTGTCCGTACCGCCCGATGAAGGTCACCCGCAGTGAACTGATGAATCGCCAACTGTCTTTGGCGCTCGCTCGCAGAGGTGAGGGACAGCGTAGGTCGCGGCGGAGGAGCAGGCTCAGACTCCTGAGACGATAGATAGGATTTACTGGCAGAAGATAAAAAGTGCCTCAAGCAAAACAAAGCAGGAACAAGCTGAACCGGCAGGTACACAGTCCACAGCGAGAAGCTGCACAAACACACACAAAACACAAGCCCGAAAAGAACCAGCACTGCTGGCACCCAGACGCGGCATCGCCAGCCCAAGCGAGAAGCCGCGCAGACAAGCAGCCTAAGGGTCAAGCAATCAAGCAACAAGCAGCAGGAGCATGCAGGAGGAATAAAATCCCTTACACGCGATACCCGGAGGCAGCCGACTGACCACTGTCAGTCGAGACGTCCGCTGCCGCCACAAAGCGGGCGGCCGCGGACGGAGAAAGGGCAGCCGCCGACAAGGAGCCGGCGCTGCCCGGGTGTCCGCCTGGGGCAGCGGACGGAGGGAGGCTGGACACAGGAACACGGTACCGCTCGAGGTAGTCCTCCTCGCTAGCCTCCGAGTCAGCGGTAGCCAAGTCAGTGGTAGCCGCCCGTGACGGCGGCGACGCCGCGGCAATGCCCAAGGACCGGCGTGACCCGACCGATGCCGGGGAGGAAGCAGGCGAGCTCGGACCAGCAGCAAGCACCCCAGTGGTGTCGAGCTCTCCGGAGGCACCCGACGTCACAGTGAGGGACGGAGACGCCTCGCCAGCTCCGCGCCGATCGTCGGGGCCACTCGAAGGGTGTCCCCCATCGGAGTCGGAGACCTCCGGCGAAGACTCCTCGGGCGACTCGACAAAGTCCGAGGAGGAGCTGTCCTCTGGCTCGAGAAGTGCTTGTGCCCGCAAGGGCGTCATGCGCCTCGCACCAGACAAGAGCGCATCCAGCGTCAGCTGCATGGTGAGGCGCTGATAGGTGGCGGCGCGTTTGCGAGCCAAGACCTCAGCAGCAGGGCCGTCATCAGGCACGAAGTGCCGACCAAACGCCGCATCCTCAAGAGGCATCGAGCGCTGAGCAATGAATAGGATATAGGATTTACTGGCAGAAGATAAAAAGTGCCTCAAGCAAAACAAAGCAGGAACAAGCGGAACCGGCAGGTACAATGATGTCCGCCAGATACCAGATGAAGCGGAGGGTGTCAGGATGCAGGGTACCGTCCGTCGAGATGGCAAGAGGGATGAACGCTCGAGGAGGAGTAGTCATGGCATATGCAGCGCGAGGTTTGCGAATCTTCTCAGACGCTGCAGCATGGAGGGCGTCGAGGTTGACCTCCCCCCACTTGGTCAGGTCGGCAGAGCTACCGATGTAAGGGTGGACCAACGTCACGTCCGCCATCAAGCCCTCGTACTGCTCGGACCCTCGATCGCGGATTCCAGGGATGTGGATATCGCCCTTCATATCCAGTAAATCCTATATCTTGCGGCCATGAGGATGGGAGGGTACCTGCCGTCGAGAACGAGGATCCCCCACTGTATCGATGACACTCTGAAGACCAGCTTCGTTCAGCATCGACCGAATCGTACGAGTAAGGTTGTCATGCGCCGTGGGAAGCTTGGAGGGAACCTCTCGACGGACGGTACCCTGCATCCTGACACCCTCCGCTTCATCTGGTATCTCGCGGACATCATTGCTCAGCGCTCAATGCCTCTTGAGGATGCGGCGTTTGGTCGGCACTTCGTGCCTGATGACGGCCCTGCTGCTGAGGTCTTGGCTCGCAAACGCGCCGCCACCTATCAGCGCCTCACCATGCAGCTGACGCTGGAAGCGCTCTTGTCTGGTGCCAGGCGCATGACGCCCTTGCGGGCGCAAGCACTTCTCGAGCCAGAGGACAGCTCCTACTCGGACTTTGTCGAGTCGCCCGAGGAGTCTTCGCCGGAGGTCTCCGACTCCGATGGGGGACACCCTTCGAGTGGCCCCGACGATCGGCGCGGAGCTGGCGAGGCGTCTCCGTCCCTCACTGTGACGTCGGGTGCCTCCGGAGAGCTCGACACCACTGGGGTGCTTGCCGCTGGTCCGAGCTCGCCTGCTTCCTCCCCGGCATCGGTCGGGTCACGCCGGTCCTTGGGCATTGCCGCGGCGTCGCCGCCGTCACGGGCGGCTACCACTGACTTGGCTACCGCTGACTCGGAGGCTAGCGAGGAGGACTACCTCGAGCGGTACCGTGTTCCTGTGTCCAGCCTCCCTCCGTCCGCTGCCCCAGGCGGACCCCCGGGCAACGCCGGCTCCTTGTCGGCGGCTGCCCTTTCTCCGTCCGCGGCCGCCCGCTTTGTGGCGGCAGCGGACGTCTCGACTGACAGTGGTCAGTCGGCTGCCTCCGGGTATCGCGTCTAAGGGATTTTCTTCCTCCTGCATGCTCCTGCTGCTTGTTGCTGGATTGCTTGACCCTTAGGCTGCTTGTCTGCGCGGCTTCGCGCTTGGGCTGGCGATGCCGCGTCTGGGTGCCAGCAGTGCTGGTTCTTTTCGGGCTTGTGTTTTGTGTGTGATTGTGCAGCTTCTCGCTGTGGACTGTGTACCTGCCGGTTCAGCTTGTTCCTGCTTTGTTTTGCTTGAGGCACTTTTTACCTTCTGCCAGTAAATCCTATACTATGCGGGGTGTAGACCCTCAGAGGGCGTGAACTCGTCCCCTCCCCGACTATGCGGAAGCTCCCGCTTGAAGCTCGCAAACTCTAGCAGGTCGGGATGCGCGGCGAGGTACTGCGAGGAAGGCCAGCGGTGGTATTTCTCAAGCGCCAGGTGGACAGAGAGGTCAAAGCGACGAATCTGTGATTGGACCCGCGGGAGAAACGGAGATGACCCCTGGAGGAAGAAGCGCAGCTTCTGGAGATGGCTCGCCCTCACCAGCGTCTTGAACATGAAGCCATGCTGGACGAGCCCGAGCTTCGAGAGCTCTTCGTTGAGGGTAGAAACCTTCGCTCGGAGCTGACTAGCATGAAATCCATCCGTGCCGATAGGCAGGCCGCCAAGTGTAATCCCGCCAGCTTCTCGCTGTGAACTGTGTGCCTGCCGGTTCAGCTTGTTCCTGCTTTGTTTTGCTTGAGGCACTTTTTATCTTCTGCCAGTAAATCCTATACTTCCACCCTTACATTGGTAGCTCTGCCGACCTGACCAGACTAATGGATTACCAAGTGGGGGGAGGTCAACCTCGACGCCCTCCATGCTGCAGCGTCTGAGAAGATTCGCAAACATCGCGCTGCATATGCCATGACTACTCCTCCTCCTCCTCGAGCGTTCATCCCTCTTGCCATCTCGACGGACGGTATAGGATTTAGACTAGAATATAGGATTTACTGGCAGAAGATAAAAAGTGCCTCAAGCAAAACAAAGCAGGAACAAGCTGAACCGGCAGGTACACAGTCCACAGCGAGAAGCTGCACAAACACACACAAAACACAAGCCCGAAAAGAACCAGCACTGCTGGCACCCAGACGCGGCATCGCCAGCCCAAGCGAGAAGCCGCGCAGACAAGCAGCCTAAGGGTCAAGCAATCAAGCAACAAGCAGCAGGAGCATGCAGGAGGAATAAAATCCCTTACACGCGATACCCGGAGGCAGCCGACTGACCACTGTCAGTCGAGACGTCCGCTGCCGCCACAAAGCGGGCGGCCGCGGACGGAGAAAGGGCAGCCGCCGACAAGGAGCCGGCGCTGCCCGGGTGTCCGCCTGGGGCAGCGGACGGAGGGAGGCTGGACACATGAACACGGTACCGCTCGAGGTAGTCCTCCTCGCTAGCCTCCGAGTCAGCGGTAGCCAAGTCAGTGGTAGCCGCCCGTGACGGCGGCGACGCCGCGGCAATGCCCAAGGACCGGCGTGACCCGACCGATGCCGGGGAGGAAGCAGGCGAGCTCGGACCAGCAGGATTTACTGGCAGAACGTAAAAAGTGCCTCAAGCAAAACAAAGCAGGAACAAGCTGAACCGGCAGGCACACAGTTCACAGCGAGAAGCTGCACAAACACACACAAAACACAAGCCCGAAAAGAACCAGCACTGCTGGCACCCAGACGCGGCAGCGCCAGCCCAAGCGCGAAGCCGCGCAGACAAGCAGCCTAAGGGTCAAGCAATCCAGCAACAAGCAGCAGGAGCATGCATGAGGAATAAAATCCCTTAGACGCGATACCCGGAGGCAGTACCCTGCGGTTTAGCTTGTTCCTGCTTTGTTTTGCTTGAGGCACTTTTTACCTTCTGCCAGTAAATCCTACTACCGACACCGAATCCATTGTTACCGCTGCATCCTGACACCCTCCGCTTCATCTGGTATCTGGCGGACATCATTGCTCAGCGCTCGATGCCTCTTGAGGATGCGGCGTTTGGTCGGCACTTCGTGCCTGATGACGGACCTGCTGCTGACGCATGTGGATTTAGTGGCAGAAGGTAAAATGCGCCTCAAGCAAAACAAAGCAGGAACAAGCTAAACCTCCAGGCACACAGCGCACAGCGAGAAGCTGCACAATCACACACAAAACACAAGCCCGAAAAGAACCAGCTTGAGGCACTTTTTACCTTCAAGGCTGCCAGTAAATCCATTGTACTACCAGCACTGCTGAGGTCTTGGCTCGCAAACGCGCTGCCACCTATCAGCACCTCACTATGCAGCTGACCCTGGAGGCGCTCTTGTCTGGTGCGAGGTGCATGACGCCCTTGCGGGAACAAGCACTTCTCGAGCCAGAGGACAGCTCCTACTCGGACTTTGTCGATGTGATATCTGCGTGACTTTGGACTAGTACAAGTCTAACAAACTTGTATTCCGTCGGTTATGAGCCTAGGCATCTCCCCTTATCTCTGCACTGCACATCTAATAGCCCTGCATGAAAATCTTCTTCAGAATGGACAATCTTTGAATGGTTATTGCCCACTCAGCATGACTGTGAACTTGACGTTGTATCGTCGTATCTTGACTTGGATCTGCTGACATTCTCTTGTTTGAGTGACTTTCTGACGTCCGATGTAACGTACTATTTCAGAAACTCGGGGGGAGGATGGAGCGTATGCCAGCCGTGCCAGTCAGATAGCGCCGAGTTAACAAAAACTCTGTAAACCAAGACGACTTACGTGTCAAGGCGGCAATGTAGTACGTGTGATGAAGAGGAGGCCTTCCTAGCCGTCCGGTCTTGCTAAGGTCCCCTCATGTCTGGTTGCTTGGGTTTCACATCCTAGCATACAGTCTATCTCTCATGTGCTCCTCAATTCTGGTTTTGTGTGCATTAAACTCGGTCTTGAGCAAAAACTGTCTTGTAAACTTGTATTCCGTCACATGCACCAGTCCAGGTGGCGCCGCCAGCCGCTGAGCTGAGTTTGCGCATATGGTAAAACTTGAAGTGTCTCAAGCAGCTTGAAAATGAAGCCATGCCGCACTGCTGGACGAGCCCGAGCTTCCAGACTCTGGAAGAGCGGCTCCGATCGTTGAGGTTGCCAGGAAGACCGTACCTTCGCTCGGAGGAAAACCGGGCCATCTGTGCCGATCGGATAGGCAGGCCTCCAAGTGTAATCCCGCCAGACACGACCTTGAAGTGAAGATGCTGAGTCTTGAGACCGTGCCAGACGGCGCGGCTTAAGGCTCGTAAACTTGAAACTTTCGACTCGCGGGGTTGAGTCTCAAGCTTCGAATCAGCCCGGCCACTGAACATGACTCAGTGATGTACTTCGAGTCTGCATACTATACTATGATAGCTGAGGTAGCTGCAACGGCATCCAACTTGCTTCGAGGCTCGGCGCCCGTAGGCGGCCCTTACCGAGTCACGGTGGCGGCCACCGGTCACCGGGTCGGGCACTGCGGCAAGCCTGTTTCTGCTCCGCTATGATACAAGATTTTTATATTCACGTCATGTGCCATTCAGTATTCAAAACTTGTTCTTTCAGTGGAGATGCCGCAGTGCCGTGCGGCGACTCGGCCGCCGGGCCGCAGCTCGCGGCCCGGGCCGGCCGGGCCCTCCTCTGTTTTTCAGTCAACAAACTTACAAGAACAATACCTGACAACCCTCGAGACGATCCTCGGAATGGTCGCAACTGTTGTCATGGTGCTGGCTCTGGTGGCGGGGATGGTAGGAGGAGAAGGAGGAGGAGGAGGAGGAGGACAGAGCTTCATACACCCGAGCAACATTGTTGCTCGACCTCCTCGGTTTGACAAGAGAATGTTCTCTACCCCTCTCCCCTGGCGGCTTTGCGCCAAGGAAGTCGACAAACAGGGTAGCTTGCGACAGCGAAACTTGAAGATAGGAGGTGTTGGAGCAAAGAGCTTGAGGGAGAAACTCACAACAAACAGGCAGGAGCATCTTTGTCCTCGAGCTTTCTCACACTAGCACAGCAGTCGATGCTTGGATCGAAAACCAGGTCGTTCACCCTCACTGCTCTCGTTCGGAATTCTGTTCCTTGCTCCCTATGATCTACCCCACCACCATCTTCGCCTTTAGCCCTCGATCCTCTCCGTTCTGTTTTGACATCTCATGTGCAACCAGATGGCAACTGTGGATCCATTTGGGTTGGTTCTGTGGCCAGCAGCACAGGCACGGGAAAGATGGAGGGACAGAATAGGGGAGGGCAGAGGGAAGCGGAGTGAGCTGAGGGGCTAGGAGGAAGTAGAAGCCTGAGGAGCTAGAAGGAAATAGGAGCATGATCAAAATGTTCAGGCGATCTCACAGAAGCTCGTCAACATGTCCTCGTCTCAAATCGACTTTCGGAATCTGACAGTCGTTGAGCTTGGAGCCGGAACAGGTTTCCTCTGGCCCCACCCCGCCCTTCCTTTCTTTCATTTCTTGTTCTCTTGGTCCCTTCCCTCTCTTTGTATGGCACTCCTACTCCTCTCATAGCTGTCTAACAACAAAAAATGTCTCCTCGTGCTCCTCTCCTCCTCGTGCTCCTCTCCTCGCATCTTTTCACCGACACATTCTAGGTCTGTGCTCCCTCGTTGCTGCCTCGCTTGGAGCGGATGCGATGGCGACAGACAGGAACGAGGAGACGCTCAGGCTAGTCGAGCTCGCTGCTTCGCGGTAACACAGAGACCCAGGAGAAAAGGCCAGTGACCCTCAGCTGCAGACAAGGACTAGAAGTGCGAACGCAACACTTTGACATTATCGGGTTGAACCTGATCCTTCTTCTACGTCTTGCCTTCCTTCCCATTTCTTTGTTTCCCTCTCTCTCTCTCTCTGTCTCCCTCCCTCTCCCTCTTCCTCTGTTGACACCTCTTCAGAGGCGTTCCGCTCCCCAGCTGCCATGTTCTCCTTTCAGCTGATTGTATGTACAATGCTGAGGTGGCGAGGTGCCGGCGCTCGCGTGCGGCCCAAGGGAGCTGACGAGGCTGCAGGAACCTCGCGCGTCTTCTGGCCCGCGCGCATCAGAGGGGGATCAAGACGATAGTGAGAGTCGGGGAGTCTGCTCAAGGCTGACTTCCTGCTAAGGTGGCAGACAGTGTGAGGATTGCGAGGGAAGAGTTCGAGGATGAGGTAGCCGCGAGAACGAGCACGCTCCTACTTGATAGCCTCACACCACCCTCATCTCTTCCTTCCTCCTTCTTCTGATGATCTCCATCCAGCTTTCTTCTCTCGGCGTCGCTTACGAAGTGGAGGATTATCGCTTTACCTTCACAGGTGATGGTGCAAGGAGGGAGGGAGGGAGGGAGGGAGGGAGGGAGAGTGGGCGAGTGGTGAAGGGAGGGCGAGGAGGGAGGTTGGAGTCGTCGCATGAAAGGCTGCAGGTTCTGCCGTCAGCTTCGACGAGGATGTGACGCGTTCAGCTCTCGTCTCCTTCTTCAATTTTCTCCCCCTGGAGCCTGCAGTAGCTCCTGGAGGAAGCACATTGTCGCAGTAGCTGCACGAGGGAGGCGGGAGGGAGGCAAGCTTTAATCGATGCACGGGCGATGTTGACAGTAAGGCGTTGCCTTAGCCACCGCATTCTATGACTGAGTCAGAGCCAAGGAAGTGAAGCTGTGCTGGAGGAGGCGTGGAAAGAGAGGAGGAGAGGGGAGAAGATGCCAAGGGTGGGGTGAGGTTTCCGGAGAGTAGAGCAGAGTAGGGTAGAGGACAGGACAGGACAGGTGATGGGGAGAGCAGAGGCAAGGGGAAGGGGAGGGAGAGGGGGTGATGGGAGGTATGGTTTCACCTCTTGGGACTCCTTGATATAACCCTGGAGCTCTCGTCGCATCTGCACCTGCAGCAGGTCAGGCCTGCAAACAGCTGGGGTTTCTCACTTTGTGAGCCTGCTGGGCGACATGGTCGAGGACCATCCCCTCTGCGATCCTCTCGAGGAGCTGACGCTCCTGCTCGACCTGCTGGCTGCCTCAGAGACGCTGAAGGGGCGGGGACAGATGTGAAGACAAAGACCTTCATCAGCTGCTTCGACTTTTTCATCTCCGCTCGCTGCTTGATGTCCTCTAGGTAGCTGGACCGCATGATGCTGGCGACATCCTTCTGTGAACCGACAAGTGGTGAGACAGGAAGGGCAGGACGAGTGAGGGATAAAGAGTGAAGATACTTGATATTGGTCCATCCATAGAGCAGATCGACCGTGGGGCAGGCTTGAGGGATCTGCGACTTGCGTGAGCATGGAGAGTAGACATGGAAGGAGAGAAGGACGGACATAAAGTTGTTGGAGCCTTCTGAAATTCTCGCTCATGCCGATTTCTCTCCAGTTTGTCCTCCACCTATGAATGAAGTATGAGGGCGGGGGGAGGAGAGAGGAGCGTGTTCCTGCAGCTTTAGGAAGTCTAGTCGCTGTCGCTCAAGCGTATGTCGCATCTCCCGCTGCCACAGCGTCAGCCTCATTGACTTTTCGAACTTGCCCGCTTTGATTTCACGATCCTCCCTTCACTTCCTCCTCGTCATCGTGTTCCCACACTTCCCGTTGCCGCCTCCTTGTCTTCGCCCTGCCCTACAAGCTCTCTTCACCTGCATACTCGCCGCATACTCTGCTTGTTTTCTCCTCTCAGCAATCTCATCCTCATGTGCCTTCTCCATCTCGATCTGTGTAGGGTTCAGACAGGGGACATGCAATCAAGCATGTCAGGACAAGGACCTTGCGGAGGAGCGACTGCTGATAATGCTCTCTCGCTCGTCTTAGGGCTTCGTTCCGAGCGAAGTTGATGTCTCCTGCTACTTCTCACGCTCGTTTCCTCTGGTGCCTCCTGCTCACCTTCTTCCTCCGGTAATGTCAGCATCACTTCCCCGTCTTCAGACCTCAGCGTTACGCTCCCATCCCTGCCTCACGGTCATCAAAGGCTGCTTCCTCTGCCTGCTCTCTCGCCTATGATGATGACGTCGATGTTTCCGCTTGGAGCTCGACGAGCTGGCGACGGATGTGAAGGAGGAGGCGACGCTGCCGCCACGAGACTCCTGAGGGTCACGTGCTGTTGATCTCTTGCTGAGGTTCGTCTCGAGTCTGTCCCCTGCTACTCGTCACAAGCAGAAGCGGACAGGACAAGAACCTGTGGTCAGCGCAGTCCTGGCTTGCGTCCACGGATTGTTCTATCCCGACGTCAAGGAAAGAAGACAGAAATGGGGAGGAGGAGGATGACGGGAAAGGGGTAGGAGGAGGGATGGGAGAGGCGAAGAGACCTTATTATCCTCTGGCCACTGGCTGGAGGATTCGAGATCGCGCGTCAATTTGACAGGAGGACAGGAGGAGGACTGCGGCCTTGTCAGCAGCGTCTCTTCTCTCGTGCCTCCTCGACTTCGGCTCACCGTTCCCTGGCGTCTCGTCTGCCTCGACTGTCCTGTAGCTGCTCGCTTCATGATTGCCGGCTTCACTGCCCTCTGCTCCTCCTGCTGAAGGGATGTGGGTGGATAATCAGCTGTCTTCCTTGTTGCTTCGGTCGCGGAGCCAACGCACACGAGGGGAGAAGCAGACGACTGCTTCTGATCGCCATGGTCGCTCCGTCCTCCTCTACCTCCCCGCTCACTCTTGTTGGGTATGCGTATCGCACCAGAAGGAAGTCGCAGGCAGTCTCTTCCTGGTACGGTCTCTGCGTGGATCGGCTTTGGGATGAACCAATACTTCTTACCCTCTGCCATTAACTTTCCGCAGGACAACAGCAGCTCTTGTCGCTCACCGCTGCAAGCTCTGCTGCCAAACGTGCTCCACATCTCACGGACAGCGCTCTCCGCCACGCTCTTGTCCACTCCAGCTCGCCTCGCAACCTCAACAAACGACACGTCCTTGCTCTTCCCCCATTCTCGTTGGTTGGAACCTAAGCTCATCGTGATCCCTCGCAGCCACTTCCCCTGCAGCTCGTGGCGCTTAGAGGAGAGAAGCTGCGAGATCTTTCCGATCTCTTCCCACACCTGCCGCGTGTCAGCCGATCTGAAGTGACTTCATGCCAAGCTCCCCAACCGCCAGCAGTCGCTTGTCCTTCTTGTCTCGAGCCTTGAGCATGGCCTCTTCCTGTCGCAGCTTTGCCAGCTCTTGCTCGAGCTGTAGCTCAGCGTCTCCGCCCGCTTTCTTGGTCCGGGTCTTCTCCGCGAGCTGATACGAGCCGGTGAAGCGATCTGCGAGAACGAGCACCTGCAGGAATTTGAGCTCTCCAACCCCCACGCCCTCCTTCAGACCATGTCGACATTGGGATGACCGTGAGGCGTGACAAGGCGACTGGCAGGATACGCGAAGGAGCCATCGAGGTGCCGTTCACCTCCTTCGTAGGTCTCGTTAATGATGATCTTGAAGACCTGAGGGAGATCAGCAGACGACACGAGGCTGACGGCACTCACGTCTCTCAGTCGTATGCTTCTTCTCCGCTTGATGTCGTCGAGAAGGACCTCATTAAAGACCCTCCAGATCTCTGCTTTCGCTTTCTCTTCCTTCTTCTTCCTCTCTATCGCCTGGTCGCTGCCCCGCATCTCCTCCTCCTCATTTCCTCTGGTTCTCTGCGTCTTTGTCTCTCTCTCCTCTTGTCCCTCCTGGTCTCTGTCCTCCTCTGTCCTCACCTCCCTCACCTCCCTCACCTCCTTCTCTCCTCCTCCTCCTCCGCTCATCTTCCAGCGCTGACCCTGAGGTTCAACGGACCAGCACAGTACCACCCCTACAGGGTGTGCACCCCAACCACCTCCCTTCCTGTGACGACCCCCTTTACAAAATGAATTTACCCACCCCTTGATACACCCCTACCCCCCATCAGGAGTCTCAACACCCCATCGAAAACCGATCAAATCCCAGGCCGTTGAATTTAGGGGGAAAGTCTCGTTTTGACTAGGAGGAAGGGTGACGATCCTCGACCTCATGCAGGAGGGAGGGAGACGATCCTCGACCTCATGCAGGAGGGAGGGAGACGATCCTCGACCTCATGCAGGAGGGAGGGAGACGATCCTCGACCTCATGCAGGAGGGAGGGAGACGATCCTCGACCTCATGCAGGAGGGAGGGAGACGATCCTCGACCTCATGCAGGAGGGAGGGAGACGATCCTCGACCTCATGCAGGAGGGAGGGAGACGATCCTCGACCTCATGCAGGAGGGAGGGAGACGATCCTCGACCTCATGCAGGAGGGAGGGAGACGATCTTCGACCTCATGCAGGAGGGAGGGAGACGATCCTCGACCTCATGCAGGAGGGAGGGAGACGATCCTCGACCTCATGCAGGAGGGAGGGAGACGATCTTCGACCTCATGCAGGAGGGAGGGAGACGATCCTCGACCTCATGCAGGAGGGAGGGAGACGATCCTCGACCTCATGCAGGAGGGAGGGAGACGATCCTCGACCTCATGCAGGAGGGAGGGAGACGATCCTCGACCTCATGCAGGAGGGAGGGAGACGATCCTCGACCTCATGCAGGAGGGAGGGAGACGATCCTCGACCTCATGCAGGAGGGAGGGAGACGATCCTCGACCTCATGCAGGAGGGAGGGAGACGATCCTCGACCTCATGCAGGAGCACAGGTAAAGTACTGGGCTGCAGGAAGAGGCGTGTGCGGTGCTCGATAACCTGGGAGGGGTGAATGCGATGGTAGGCTATAGTTGAAAAGAAAAAGAATAACAGTAACGACTTCCGGCTCGTCAAGTTCTAACTAAGGGCTTCCGAAGGCCCTCATGCTCATAGGGCAGCATCATGCTCAGGATCTGCAAGGGGTGGGTCAGACCTCGAGGGCTGAGAGGAGACATCGACCTCGTCCTCTCTCTCTCTCGGGCTCATAACGTGAGAAATCATCCGCTCCCTGCCAGACAACCCGAATCATTGACTGTGCCACAAGCCCGATCAGCACCTCAATTTCTTCTTCGTCTCTTCCGCTTTCTGGTGTTTCTTCAGGGCCAGCAGATAAAGCTTGTTCAAGCTCTGCGTGCTCAGTATCTGTCCGATCAGAGATTTCGCTGGGCTCTCACCCTCTCCCTTGTTTTCTTCAGGCGCTTGGTTCCTCATTCTCCGCAGTGCGGGGCTGTCGGCAACCAGCAAGAGACTTTTTACTGCTGGGCTGACCGTGTTGAACTTGGACGACGCATGACCTTTCTTCATCACACCGAAGCCAACAGGAGCCCAAGGTCTTGTCCGCAGGCTCTCGAAGGCAGGGAGGCTGTTGCTGGAACGCTGAGGCCGGAGGCTGTCGATGAAACTTCGTCCAGGAGGTGCAGGCAGCGGGTAGTTCAAGTAACCGTCGGGGTCGAGAAGCTTCTCAATGATCTCATCGATCATATCCAGCACGTTCACTTCCTCCTGTTCGGCATGTCAGTCCCAGCGCCGCCTGTCTGACGTCGCGTCACCATCGGGTTGACGAAGAGGAAGGAGGCTGCGTTGCGGAACACAGTCTCTAACACAACCCGGATAAGCATGAGGTAAATGGGAAAAGCAACCAGCTTCTGCGCGCGTTTCATCATGTGACTTTGAATTTCCATCCATCCACCAAATATCTTGAGCAGCAAATTCTCAATGTCCTTGTCCTGCTTCTGTGGAGGACTTCTTGGTCGATCATCAACCTTGATTTCATTTGCTTCTGCAAATTCAATCCAGCTTGAGAAATGTGAAGAACACAACCAGCAATTACCGTCACCCTTGCTCCCTTTGAACAAGATGGCCCATTCACAGAATTCACAGACATCAAGTATCAGCTGTAGTCAAGAGGTCTCTTCAAATCCTCGGCAGGTCGCAATTCGATTTTGGTCACCTGTGCTATTTCCAGTCCAGTAAGCTCTGTCACCAAAAGAGCCATATCCTGATAGAAGCAATCACGAGAATCAAGAGAATCCACTTGTGTACAACAAACCTGTGACGAAAGCCTTTCTTGAATGTGTGATAGTGGAAACGTATGGACAAACATAGTTTGTAGCGACAAGATGTCATCCATGGTAACCTTCCAACTATGTCACGAACCAAAGACCATGAACCACAACCACCTGAAGGCCGTGAGCCTCGGCTGATGAGGTTGAGCTCTGTGAATAGAGCTTGACCTGCACCTCTCGCGAATATCAGTATCACCGAACCACCGCAGGAGAAGATGACATGTTGATGGCTTCTCCTGCCTGAAACGCTCCTTGCACTCTCCTGCGAACAGTTCAGCCCTTCTTGACTAGTCAGCTTCTTTGCTACACCGGCGGCTTTCCCAATTCTTTTGCCACGGCGATTCGAGTTGCGATATCATCTCGCTTGATGGGGGAGAGAGGAGGAGGCCTGGTAGCACTCGCAACCTTTTGCATCGACAAATGCGGCAGTGCCGATTCCTTGGTCTTGGCAGCTTCTCTTTCTTGGTCGGGCCAAACGATAGATTTTACAGCCTTGGCGTCCTGGTTAACTTGTACCTCAGCATAGGTCTGTCCCAGCTTCTTGTCGAGGATCTCTGAGAACAAGCTCTTGGCTGCGTAAGGACGCCAGAGGTGCCGGCCCCTCAGCTTGGGGTTGGTCTTCTCGATGTACATCATGTCCTCCAGCCCCCCCTTGGATTTGTACGCTGCTTTTAATTTGAGGTGGTTCAAGGGAATCTCAGACTTGACTCGGCGGATGTTCGATTCGGAAGGCGTCACGCCAATCGATTGAAGATACTTGACTGCAAATTCATTGATCAAGAGAGACTTCATTTTCTGGACTTGTTCTTCTTTTGGTGGTTCATCAACTTGTTTTAGAGGAATTGCACACAGAGAGAAATCCTGTAACCTGTGCGACATTATCTGAACCAAAGTTTCCAGGGTATCAGGAAGTTTCAATGTCGGATTTGCTGCACCACACGCTTCGGTTCAGCAAGCCAATCAAGTGAGACAGCTCGAGCTGGATCAACTCGAGCTGGACGACATGAGGGTGCAGTTAGAAGCATCTCAGAGAGTGCATTCGTTCTGGTCGTCGCTCGGATCCTCTGCCACGACGTCGCTCGACTTCTTCTGCTTTGCCGCCCATGCCCAACGGCTCAGCTGATACCATAGACCGTTTTAAGTCGTTTCCAAGTCGTTACAATGACGTTATGCTACCGCAGGTGATTTTTAAGTTAACTTTGTTGATCCTACCCCACCCCCTACCCCTGCCTCTCATACCACCCTCTAGTTCTCGTTGAATGCGATGAATACACCCAGACAGGTTTCAGACCCCACCCCTCATTTACCACAATTCTGAGGTCTAGTACCCCACAATAATCCACCCCACCCCCTATCAAGGGTGCAGAAATCCTCCTGTACCCCATAATGGTCTGCACCCCCTTGTCTCCCCTTGCAACAACCCCTGAGCACCACCCCCTTGTGAAACTCACCACCCCTATCAATGTATACCTCACCATCTTTTTTGACTACCCCACTATTCCACATCATCTACCCGGTACTTTGAAAGCACTCCCATTACCCCCACCCACCTCTTCATTCTGACTACCCCACCCATAGAGCTCTCAATCCCCGCGCTCCTTCACCATGCGTGCAATGCGTTTTCGCCCATGCATCGACCTGCACAATTCAATCGTCAAGCAGGTGAATCCTCCTCTTATCCTCCTCCTGCATTCCTCTACCCTCCTCTTCCCCTCCTCTCCCCCTCCTCTTGCATTCCTCTATTCTCCTCTCTTCGTGCATTCCCCCTCGCACTCCATGTTCATCCCTCCCTCTCCCCTCAACCCCTTCCCTCCCTCCTTCTTTGCTCCTTGTTTCTCCCCCTCCCTCTCTCCAGCTAATTTCCCCTCCTCCCTCCATTCCTCCTCCCTTTAATCCGCTTTTCCAATCCTCCTCGTATCCAACTCTCCCTCCTCTCTGCCTCCTCCCGCTTATCCATTCTCTCCATTCTCTTTATGTCTCTTTGTCGTTCATCAATACTCTTCGTTAATACTCGTCGTCCCCTCACTTCGTTATCAATATCCCTCTGCTTCCTCCTCCCCGTCTCCACCGCTCCTCTTCGTTCTTCCATTCCGCACGTCTGTCCACTTCCTCCCTTCCACGTCCTCCTTTCCTGCTTCAACATGTTCAGCCCCTTCCTCACTGCACGATACACTTACTGCAATCAAATCTTCTTCACGATACACTTACTGCAATCAAATCTTCTTCACGATACACATACTGCAATCAAATCTTCTTCACGATACACATACTGCAATCAAATCTTCTTCATGATACACATACTGCAATCAATTCTTCTTTTTTTGCCCCAACCAGTTTCTGTTCCTTTCACGATCTGAAGCAATCTCGTGATCTGAAGGAATCTGAACCTCATCCAAATGTCTGTAGAGTTCTTTTCCCCCTTTCGCTTTTACCTTTTCTTTTCGGTTTTTCTTGTGGCCAGCGCTGACTGTGGGTTAAGATTGTTGGAGGAACGCTTGCAGATGGCAAGGAGCCAACCACCAACTTTACCTCTTCTTTGTCCGCGAAGGAGTATGCGGTATGAGGATACGTCAATCGTGTTTGCCGTTCGATAGTGATGGCTTGCAACCAACAGGAGAAGTACAAGAAGGACAATCTCCCTGGAGGCCATGTCATCATGCTAGGCCCAGGAAATGACGAGGCTGCACTTTCTGCTCTGCAGGCCTACCCTGGAGGCCTGCAAATCGGCGGAGGCATTAATCCATCGAATGCTAAACAATGGTTGGATGCGGGGGCTTCACACGTCATTGTTACCTCTTACATCTTTGAGAATGGAAGTTTGTCGATGGAGAAGTAAGGCTGAAGCTTGGTAACTCTGTCATGTAAAGCAATCCTGTACCAGGCTGAAAGAGCTGTTCGCCGTGACTGGAAAAGACAAGCTGGTATTCAGCAGATGAGTGTGCCTTGCGCATGAATGAGAGAGCTGTGTTAGGTCCTCGATCTCAGCTGTCGAAGGAAAGAAGATGGGAAGTATTACGTTGTGACTGATAGATGGCAGACTTTTACTAATCTCGAGGTCATCATGTCGACGCATGTGACAAAGTATCTGACCCATGGAAACCTCTAGGTTAATAAGGAAACAATTGATATGCTCTCCGAATATTGCGCCGAATTCTTAGTTCATGGTGTAGATGTGGAAGGAAAGAGAATGGGTATTCTAATTCTTGCGGTTGGTGTCCATAAGCTGAAATGATATCAGGTATTGAAGAGGAATTGGTTCGATTGCTAGGCGAGCACTGTAGCATTCCATGTACTTATGCTGGTATCGCATCGTTGTCTCGTCCTCGAAGTCTGAGAGATGAACAGGAGGAGCTGATCTTCTTAGCGATCTTGATCGTGTGAAGGCTATGGGTAAGGGAAAGGTCGACTTGACTATCGGGAGGTATGCCAGGTGTTAGGTTGTGCGATGTCATTTCGTGACGTGATTTACAGCTCTCTGGACATCTTTGGAGGTCCCATCAGGTCAGGCTGCATTCTCGAGTTTTTGGTCGACTGAACGTGGCGCTTGCAGCTACGATGCTGTGGTGCATTGGCAACGTCAGCAGGAGGCAAGAGCGTCGGGAGAGGTCGTTACGGTCTTGTCGTCACGCGCCACTCACAGAGATGTTTGGCAGGCTAAGGGAATGTTTGGAGGATTCGGCCGAACATACAGTTAAGGCGTTTGGTCGAGGAATTTCGCGGTCTCTTATTATACCCTCGATAGACTATGCGATAGAAAAATCTCATAAGGATCGATTGCTGATCCTCAAATAGACTACAACTCATCGAAAGGCCATCACTGTTGATCTGAACGAAACAACTTGTAGAGGGTCTGCTGACTCTGATTTCCTGGGCAATCACGCTTGAAACGCTTGTTTCTACCGTTTACCTGAGGACGAAACAGTTGAATTTCATGGCGACCAAAGAGAGCGTCTCACCTCAACAAGAAGGCAATCAGTCTCATTAAGACCGCACTTGATCGACATCAGATCCGGATGGTCCCCACAAGAGGCCATGGAGGTTCTCAATCGGGTGACGATTGTCATCACTCTCGAAAACACGTCATCTTTGCGGTCACCGTCTGGCAGGAGGGTCAAGGAATGGAACGAGCTCAATGGGGTCAGAGAGGCTTCACCTTGATCCACCAGCTCCTTGACGATGATGTCCCCAGCTACTGCAACGAGAAGCTTGATGGCAGACCACGACATCTCCTTGTCTCGCAAGAAGCAGGAGGATCGCACTTTGTCCACTCGCAACTCTTCTAACAAATTCATCGTCTCCCCTATCGTCATATTGACAGCTTTGTTGATGGTTTCTGCAGAAATGATACGCTGAATGCAGTCTGAACAAAGGACCTGACGCAATTCTTCGCCTCGGGTTGATACAGGGAGGAAGTTTTGGATGATGAGACAAATGTTATCTGTTCTTTTCTCGTCGAAAAGCTGAGTACAAATAGCAGACGAGATTCGATGCCTGATTTGCGACTTGGACCATTCTTGTTCAGAAATGCTCTCTAACAGAATTTTGAAAGTTTTCTCAAGAGCGGTGATAATGCAAGAGCCTCTCTGGGTGTGATGGTGACAAGTCATACTGTCTGTATCCTGTACAAGATCCTCCACACCAGAATCTGTCCTGATGCTGCAAAGAAGCATAGCCCAGTTTACGACATCATCATCAGACAAGCTAAGTTTGCTGTCAAAACATGAGATGCCATCACATCAGGTTTGAACACGTTTACCTGTGTTCAAGGCAAGCTTGCAATATCCACAAGAATGGTAAGAGATGCTTCATCAACACAGATGTGGTCGAGCCTGTTGATGCTTGAGCTATCAGCGCATCTTGCGTCATTTGCGTACCATCAGGATATTTGAAACGACAATTGGCAACATGCAGATGGGAAAGGAGCATCGGCTCCCCTTCCTGTTTGAGTTCCACCATGGTCTCATCGCCATCATCCACCAGCTCTCCTTCCCACCACTTGCCTCCTTTCTTCACCTAACACCGATTTCAATGCCTCTCCTCATACCGCATCTCATTCACCTCCACCACGCCCACTCTCGTACAGCGTTCTTGACGGCGAGACTCGTCGACTCTTTTTTGCCAGGAGGAGGGGAGACACTCGGATCTCTGCCGAAGCACAAGGATGAGATCGATGATACCTCGAGCATCACAGCACCAGTCCGTATCGTATGAGCGCATGAACCAACTCATCTTGGCACCTGATCTGCGTCAGACACGAGGCGGGTGCTCCAGACAGAAACCGGACGCTGTCGCTAGAGGCTAAGGTCCTCTCGAAAGCCTCCATGGCTCGCCAGCTCACCAGCTCGCTTCCATGGAGCAGCTACGAGTCAAGTCAAAGGCAGCACGAGGACTGACTTCATGCCACTCACCGCAAGTTGAGCAAAGAAGTCGCAATGCTGGCTTGAGGGACCACATGCCAATTGATGATCCAACCATATTATCAGGTCATCCGTGCTTTGCATGAGGGAGGCAAACTGACGTGAGGGATGTTGGTCGTGAATTCGATCGAGGGACAAAGGAGGAGCTGGTAGAAACATGGAGACTAACTCGGCCTCAGCACCAGCCACACTCGATAGATTCGACTGAATGGCCGACGTAAGTTCATCATCACCGTCATCTCCTCCTCCTCCTCCTCCTTCTCCTTCTCCTTCTCCACGATAAGTTCTCTTGAAATTTCTCTCCCTCTGATGATGCTCTTTGAACACCTGCCTATGAGATCAGGAGGGCCAGCAAGTCATCATGGTCAGATGGTTTCACCTTGCAGAGCATCGAGCTCATCTCGCACGCTCTCCTCGCAGACTCCTGCCTCTTCTCTCGTGCGAGAGGAACAGAAGCCCTGGAGGACCGGCGCGGGGGGTCGCGACATGGCGAAGGCAGTCGAATCTGAGGCAAAGGCGACGCTCCTGGCGAGCTGGAAGGGGAGGAGGAAGGAGACGAGAGCAACGAAGATGGTGAGGATGAGGGAGGAGAGGAAGGAGAGGGGCATGAAGGGGCTGCAGCTGCATTCTCAGTGGTGGCGGTGCTCGTGGTGGTGGTGGAGGAGGAAGGAGCAGCCGAGGATTCGCCATTGGCGGCATCGACCGGCGGAGTAGCGCTTGGCGCCATTTCTAGCTTCAGAGCCTTATCACAGATTTCATAGTATATGTTGGCAGATTATCGCTGTCTTCGCAACATTTCTATCGATACTCTGAGGCGAGTTTCCTTCAACTTCTGGCGCGGTTTTGCAAAAAAAGTTTCAAAAATGGCGGCAACACGAGATGGCATGGCGGAGGGAAGGGGAGGGGGAGGAGGGGGAGGGCGGAAGAAAGCAAAGGGAGGGGGAAAGGGGGAGGGAGCAGGCAAGGGGAAGGGTAGGCTGGAGATTGGAAAACATGACATCGTTGCACCCACGAACTGAATTGCTTTTGCATCGTTTTCGTGAATTATTGACTTTCGCTTTTGACTTTCAATTCCCAGGGCTCGTGTTTTGATATGTTGCTGACGCTTCTCTGAATAACTTGAGAGATGTCTGCAGCTGCTCCTTATCATGATACCGGCTTTAATTTGATGAGCCTTCTCGTTTATGTCTTCATCTTCTCTTCTCTTGCGCTCCTATTGAAACAGGTATGCTTTTCCACCGTAACCAGGAAGACGCGATCCAGGCGAGCAGTCTCGGACAGATCGAAGAGCGAGAGCGAAGAGAAGCATCGCGATGCATCAAGTGAGAGAGAATCATTGAACCAAGCAAGCCGAAAGCCCTTGTCTCCCAGCTCGCAACCTCCTTCGCTCTTTTATCGCAGGTCACGACGCGAATTGAACTACCCGGGTACCCCACAGCACCATGGAGCGAGTGAGCCCAAGTTTCGAGTGATCAACCTTGCGGAGCCGCAGGAGGGATTGAAGGCTGCTGTGAAGTTTGGGGGGTCGAGTCTCTTGGATGCCTCCGTCGTCGCGTCTCCACGCGTGGAAGTGAGTCGTTGGGAGAGAGAAAGACCGAGCAGCGCAGCGCACCCTGCTCAGACTCCTAAGCGCCTCTCCTCTACCCCAAGGATCTCGAGCTTAAGAGATAGTCTGAGTCCTCGTCGAGCAGCGCTGCCGTTGTTTTCCTTGTCACCTAGAGCAGATGAGGGAGGGGCGGACGTGAGGTCGAATCAAACAGGAGACGTGCATGAACTCGAAGCGGCTCGACGAGGTAGCGCCCGCATCAATCATAATGCTCCTTCTCCGAATATCCAAACGACTGCGAATAATACCAGGGAATTCCTGAGCGATTCAGTGCTCAACAGTCCTCCTGTGGTGAGAAGCAGTGCTGGCTTGCATCTTATAATATTCACGCACTTTTAAGATCGACAACAAGGAGAACAAGTCGCCCAGTCCTAGCAGTAAGTTTTTGTCCTGCGGTTTCCCTTCATTCATTCTCTTGCAGAAATGGAACTTTTGAAACGCCGAGCTCGAGGTCTCACTCCTGATCCCTCTGGATTGACTCCTCTGCGCAAGCGAAGGTTTCGGTCGTGTTGCTGTCCGTTGCTTGGATTCACATTATGGACAGGGCAATCACTGCTAACGTAAATAACTGGCTCTCGCCAAATCTAAAGCGAAAGTTTGACGGCCAGAGTTTATCTGATGCCAGAAAAACGTACAAGTCTCAAAGGGCTGTAGCTACAGCCATGCGGTGAAAAACATCTGAATGATGTCTTGTCTAAGCTCAAGCTGTTGCAGTGACGATAGAATGTATACCGCTGCACCTGACAGCCAACTTCTCCCGGTACCTACGAAGATCGGTATCCACTTTCAACTGGTTTAATCAAGAAATGCTTCTTGTTTTGATTTTGCAAATCAGGGTCGACAAGCAGCACATTGGATTCATGTCAATCAGCTACAAATCTCGATCTGAACAAAGGCTCTTCCGTCCAATTTAACTCATCAGCTGCATTGAAACCTCAAGCAGATGGCCAAGCAGTTTATGGAACAAAAATTTCCGGTGAAACCAAAAGCAAACATCTCGCTTCGTCTAACTTGATGAGGCAGATGAAAGCTCAGCAGGAGGTAACACAGGCAATGTCAGCTTTGGGAGCAGCAGGATAGGTAGTGGAGCAGAAGCTCCGGCGTTCGGGAGCACAAACGCAGCGGCTCCGGCGTTCGGAAGCACAACCGCAGCGGCTCCGGCGTTCGGGAGCAGCAGCGGGGCAGCTCAGGCGTTCGGGAGCACAACCGCAACGGCTCCGGCGTTTGGGAGCACAACCGCAACGGCTCCGGCGTTTGGGAGCACAACCGCAACGGCTCCGGCGTTTGGGAGCAGCAGCGGGGCAGCGGCTCCGGCGTTCGGGAGCACAACCGCAGCGGCTCCGGCGTTCGGGAGCAGCAGCGGGGCAGCGGCTCCGGCGTTCGGAAGCACAACCGCAGCGGCTCCGGCGTTCGGGAGCAGCAGCGGGGCAGCTCCGGCGTTCGGGAGCAGCAGCGGGGGAGGAGCTCCGGCGTTCGGGAGCAGCAGCGGGGGAGGAGCTCCGGCGTTCGGGAGCAGCGGCGGGGCAGGAGCTTCGGCGTTCGGGAGCAGCGGGGCAGGAGCTTCGGCGTTCGGGAGTACCGGGGCAGGAGCTCCGGCGTTCGGGAGCAGTACCGGGGGAGGAGCTCCGGCGTTCGGGAGCAGCGGGGGAGGAGCTCCGGCGTTCGGGAGCAGCACCGGGGGAGGAGCTTCGGTGTTCGGAAGCAGCGGGGCAGGAGCTCCGGCGTTCGGGAGCAGTACCGGGGCAGCGGCTCCGGCGTTCGGGAGCAGCAGCGGGGGAGGAGCTCCGGCGTTCGGGAGTACCGGGGCAGCGGCTCCGGCGTTCGGGAGCAGTACCGGGGCAGGAGCTCCGGCGTTCGGGAGCAGCGGGGCAGGAGCTCCGGCGTTCGGGAGCACTGGGGCAGCGGCTCCGGCGTTCGGGAGCAGCAGCGGGGCAGGAGCTCCGGCGTTCGGGAGCAGTACCGGGGCAGGAGCTTCGGTGTTCGGGAGTACCGGGGCAGCGGCTCCGGCGTTCGGGAGCAGTACCGGGGCAGGAGCTCCGGCGTTCGGGAGCAGCGGGGGAGGAGCTCCGGCGTTCGGGAGCAGCAGCGGGGCAGGAGCTCCGGCGTTCGGGAGCAGTACCGGGGCAGGAGCTTCGGTGTTCGGGAGCACCGGGGCAGGAGCTCCGGCGTTCGGGAGCAGCAGCGGGGGAGGAGCTTCGGCGTTCGGGAGCAGCAGCGGGGGAGGAGCTCCGGCGTTCGGGAGCAGCGGGGGAGGAGCTCCGGCGTTCGGGAGCAGCAGCGGGGGAGGAGCTTCGGCGTTCGGGAGCTCCGGGGGAGGAGCTTTGGTGTTCGGGAGCAGCGGGTCAGCCTTTGGGAACTCTAATTTCTCAGCTCCTGGCTTCGGTTGTCAGCCTCCAGGGGTGTCTGCAGCACCTTTTGGGTTCGGTTCAGCGCCTGCATTGGGTGGAGGAGGAATGGATGGACCTGCCGTGCCTGGGCCTGCAAAGAGAGCAGGGTCGAAAGGATCAGGCAAGGGAAGGGGGTCAGGCAGGGGAAGGGGTCGATGATGGAATGCACGATGTTGCTTGTTCAGACATAACGAGAGAGATAAACGACAAGGCTGAGCCTCGAGGTACATGAGATGCCTGTATGTGCTGGAGGGGCAGGAGGGTCTTCAGTCCAGGAAGAGACGCTTGTCTTTGATGTAGTCCAGCACAGGGTCCGCAACGAAATACTTGACGCTCTGCGACAAGAGTCAGACGCCTGTAGAGAAGCCCCCAGACTCACCATGTTGCGCTTGATGGCACGGCGAACAGCCGTTGAGCTCACGTTGTTCTCCACCCACTCGCGGGCCTGACACACAATGAGCGAATTGAAAGGACGCGTTCGCTACCGACAAGGTGGATCTTGCTTCTGAACTGGCAAAGAGTCAGCCAAGAGATGGATGCGTCTGCTATGGTTACCTCATACAGAAGATCGTTCTCCTGGATCAGTCGCTCGGGATCGGAGCCGCTACGTTTGATGCACACGATTCCACGGCTGAGGATCACTTTGAGATCCGCCTCCATCCACACCCCTGGATGTTGTCACTTCCCCTCCGCTCCTCGCTCCTCTCCCTCCACTTTCCTGGTGTGACCATGGACTCAAGAATATCAGCACCGCACAGCAGCATCACTTTCACCTCCTGTCCACCTGCATGGAGACTGGATCAAGTCATGGCCCATAACAAGGGCCCTTTACCGCGATCCTTGTTCAACTCCTGATACATGCGGTCCAGCGATAAGCGAGTTCGCGTCCACTCGTTCTGCTTCACTTCCCATTCATCGCATGCGATCCAGTCTGAAGTCTCCAGCGCTCGCTTGACCTTCACGCTCCCACTTCAACCCCAGCACAGCAGGACAAGCGCAAACCATCTCAACGCGGTGCTCGGGTGCAGCGAGTCCCTTTTTGCCGTAGGAAGGATGAACGGGAGAGATGAAGCCGCCAACAACTTGAAGCTGCAGGATATGAGCTTTCTCCCTCACCTCCTCCCTCACCTTGTTCGTCTCTGCCGTCTCACGGAAATAGTCCCTCGCTGTCTCGAAGATGCGAGTGTGTAACACCTGACAGCCCCTGAGAACGACAAGCAGCGGAGGAGGTGTCACCGTGGGTGGGGAGAACGAGCCACAAGCCAAGAGTACCACAGGATTGCATCCCTCCTGCACCTTACTGGGGTCCTGCAGCTTGCTGACATCCACGTCTGTGCGGGTCGTCAGGAGATGGCAGCACAGCTGATGTCTACCAAAAGGTTTCTTTTGGCTCAACGAGCCTGACGTCGGGTCAAAGGGAAGAGGCTGTGAAGCAGACATCGTGAAGCCTGTGGCATCTCATTCCCTGTGATGCCGCTGTTGCCGTCTCACCGTGTAGCCTACGTCTTGAGCAGGGAACTGCTGAAGGACGAGCAAGGTTTGGGGGACGAGGAAGCACGAAGGCTGATGGGAAGACGCGAGCAGCGATGGAGCAGCGAGCAGAGGAGAGGAGGAAGCACAGTTGAACGGCTGCTGGGCCTCCCGTTGAGGAGAAGAAGCGACGGGCGACTATGATGGAGCGAGCTTGGAGCGAGCAGTGCAGGCAGGAGGAGGAAATGGGAATGAGGGGAGATGAGGGCAACACCTAAAACTGAGGGAGGGCAATAAAAAGATGAAAGAGGCGCATAAAGGTAAATTGCGAGATGCAGAGCAAACTAGAGGGAGGGAGGGAGGGAGGGAGGGAGGGAGGGAGGGAGGGAGGGAGGGAGGGAGGGAGGGGAGGGAGGGAGGGGAGGGAGGGAGGGG